ACCATCTCACACATTTCCAGTAAGCCGGCTGCCCTGATTGGGAACGGAGCCTGAGCAATGACAGAGTCCCACAGAAACCAACACTGGCCCTGCCGGCAGCACTGCCTCTCGCTCAGCCAGGGAGCCCCCCCCACACACACACACACACACTCCCCACTACCGAAACCACAGGAAAGCCTGGGAAGTGAGACCAGCTTCCCGCTGAGAGCTCTGCACAGAGGAGAGCTAAGAAGCCACTTTAAGCTCCCTAGCCCTGCCTAGCCACAGCCTGAGAGTGCCGGGTCTGAAGAAAGACTCTGGAAGGGGTGGGAGATGGAGGCAGGTGACAGGAGCCACTGCCCTCCTCCCCAGCCCTAGACTTGCCCTCACCCACTACTGTACCTCCAGGTACCACATACCCTTGGCCACTAGTCAAGGGGCATGGGGGCTGGAGGCCAGCAAGAGATAGGCAGCCAATAGAATGGTCTGTGCAGGGTGGGCTGGCATTTGAGTGAGAACTAGAAAGGATCTGGGCCCGGGCCTACTGAGGCTATGGGGATGCGGCAATAGGTGAAGTGCTCGCTGCTCAACTATGAAGTCCTGAGTTTGGCTCCCCAGCACCCACGTAAGTCAGCTGCAGCCTGAATGCCTATAACCACAGTGCCAGGAGGACTCCCGGAGCTCCCTGGACAGAAAAATCTCATCACAACAGTGAGCTCCAGGTTCATCGAGAAAACCAGTATCAAAAACTAGGGCAGAAAGCTCGGCCGGTAAAGGTGCTCGCCACTAAGCCGGAAGACCTGAATTGTATCCCTGTGTGCCACATGGAGGAAGGAGAGAACCAAATCCTGAACATTGTTCTTTGACCTCCACATGTGCACCATGGCATGCACAGACCCCTGCACACAAAATACATACATAGATGCAATTAAAAACAATTAAATAAGTAATTAAATAGATGCAATTAAAAACAAAAACAGTTTGTTAAAAAAAAAAAAAACACAGCCAGCAAGTCTCACTGGCTTCCCTTGGTGAAGGCCATCTCATCTGTAATCTGAACCCTAAATGTTTGCAAACAGCATCATCTCAACATCACTCAGTGAAGGACTGCAAGGAAACTCCACAACAAAGGAGCAGGCATGCAGGTCAACAGCCCCTCCCCTGGAAGCACTTTAGGGATGAGACAAGAAGGCTTTTTGTGGGGTACGTGGCTGAGTACAGAAACTAGACACCACATCCACCATCACCATCCCCCTTGACAAGCACCACCCACCTGCCAATCAAAGATGGAAAATACAAGTGCATCCTCCATGCACATCAATAAGCTTGCCCATGACAGCCAAGAAATCCCAGCTTAGCCAGGGTCCCAGCCTGGAGCCCCTGTCCTCTTATGCCAAGACAACTTTCTCCCTCCTGGTAGCCAGCAATATCAACCCAGGTCAGTCAGAGAGAGTTACAGCCAAGTAAAAAGCAAGCTGAGACTTTTGTTTCAAAGGAGGGCACCCCCTGCCTCACCTTTCTGAAGCATATACTATTTCTGAAAAAGCCTTTGCCTGCGCAAAGCGCTCTAAAGAAAAGCGGAATATGGACAGCACAGCCTCCGAGCCCTTACTACCTGCCTTTTCCTTACAGCCTCCGGAGTCAGAATACTGTGAGCCTGACAGGTCTCCATCAAGGAAATAAAGAAATAAATAAACAAAGAGCTGTTCAAAGGCTGACTTTAAGAAAATCAATGGAAATAAAATGCTTTGAAAAATGTCATTTCAATATCAACTATTGTACTATTTACCGGGTATGTTTTTCATCCAACTTAAGTAGTTTTTAGTGCTTCAGAAACCAAAACTTGCATCATGTTAAAAAAAAAAATACTCTAAGCATTCCCCATTGCTTTTTTGAACTGTAGGAATAACAGCATTTTTCAAAAATATTTCCACCACATGTAATGAACCAGGTCCGTGTTCAGCTTTAAACCAAAGCAGGAGTTACATTTAAATGTGGTTTAAATAGTAGATCTAAATAGGAAAGTAAAAAGGGAATTGTGTCAGCAACAATCTCCTCCAGACATCTCCCACTACTAGCACTTAACTCTTCCAGACCCAGAATCTTCTGAAGGCCAACTCTGTGCTCACCTGTGCCAAAATATGTTCAATTAAGCAGGAAGGAGACACAAAATTCTGTTCATAATTGGAGGCAAAAATCTGAGCTTTGGTTTGAAAAATAAAATCTACAAGGATGACATAACACAACCCAATGCTTCAAACAATCAAGACATTGAAGTCCAATGACAGATCTCGAACAAGAGATGGCTCACGATTAGCCTGACCACAGGGCACCAGCTCCAGAGACAGCCATGGCCAGAGCAGAGATCTGAGACAGAGATGTGGCTCAAGTCCAGAGGTCAAGGACGGTATCAGACAGCTCTGAGAGATGACAGTGAGGATCAGGACTGCAGTGGGGGAAATCTGACCTATCTCTTCCCTTCTAAAAAGTATGCAGCTTTGGATTGAATCACCCAAAGTTACTAATTCAACTCTCCATTTGCCATGGTCTGCACGGAGAAAACAGTTGCTTGCAAAAACAGGGAACTTTGTGGATGTGATCCTTAACTTCGGGGCTCATCCTCAAGGGAAGGCCACTGCGAATTCAGCTATGGATGAAAAATCAATGGGTTTGCAGGCACTGCTCCTTTCCTTCCAACAGCTTAAGTGGGGGGGGGGGGGGTGTCACAGAACACACTCTTCCCACTGTGGCACTGCTGGAAATGGGACCTGGGCATCCCCAGCACCTCCACAAGCATTCTCAGAGACAAGAATGTAGCTTTGCATGCCAACAGTCCCATCTGTTCCCCTGTCGTGTTATTGAAAAAGTAAATCCCTCCCCCTGCAATGACTTTTTCATTGCTGAACTTGTTTTGTTGTTGTTGTTTGGTTTTGTTTTTCTTGTGCTAAAAAGTCACTCAAAGGGGGGAAAAAAACACTCCTTGTACAGATAATCAGTGCAGGAGCTGCTGCAGCCCCCTGGCAGACCCACAAAGCAACAGCAGGTAGGACTGAGCACACTGAAGGGATTGCAGCAGAGGGCTAGACGTCTAGGGCGTGGCTAAGGGCAAGCAGGCCCAAACCACACCCATCGCCAGGGTCAAAAGAGCCCCAGCCCCGCCCCCAGGTTCAATCGCCCCACAACAAGGAAGGCAAGAGCACGAACCACTGCTGCACCGGCTTGCAAGATTCCAGAATACTTATGGCCAGACCAAGGCTGATCAAAGGCGGCTCCACGTTTTATAAGCCTTCATCCCAACACTCTCCGACCCAAGGAAAAACTTCCCGATCTCAGAGGCCAAAAAACATGATTCTTTGAGGTCCCTGAACGTCCCCCAAACCTTGAGGGCCAGTCTTCCAAACAGAACGTCTCTTCTGAACGTGCGCGCCAGCAGACATGATTTTATGGAAACCCCACCCCGAGAGATCATTCACAGAGTCTGGGACAGGAACCCTAAACCAAGAAAAGTGGCTAGTCACGGCGGGAGAAGGGTCAGTTCTTTGGGTGGGCCAATGAGAAGGAGGCCTCTGACTTCGGAGGCACCAGCGGAGGCACCAGCACGCAGCCGCTGCACTGCTCCCGCCCTTGGTCTTTGCAGTGACCCCACCCAGGTCGTGACCCCCTGAAGACCTCCAGCGTTGGCGTCCTCTGGCTCTGCGGGCTCCCAACACGCAGCTTTAGACGCTGCGGGTGCGTCCTGGACCTTTGCTGGATCTCAGCTTTGCACCTCCCGGCTTGGAGCAGAGCGCACCGGGTCTTGCTCCGGCCGCGAGCCCTAGGCAGGCGGCGGGGACGCAGCGCCCGCAGTGCGACTGGCGCAGCTGCCGAGGCGCGGGGCGCGCCTCTGGGACCCGACCCGGTGGAGCCAAGAGAGGCGCCGGCTGGCGAATCTCACCTCCGGCCCGCAGAGGCTGCAGGCTCCAGGAGCCTCACCCGGCGACGGGGCGGAGGACTGGTCCGAGATCCAAAAGGGTGCCGGTGGGTACAGTATCAGGACAGGGATGCCAAGTGGACTGAGGTCGAATCAGTCCGGTTTGGGAGGACCGAACTGCGGCGTGAGGACCCTCTAAAGACACAGGAATAAAGGGTCTGACCAAAGTCTTGGGATTGGAGAAAGGGGAGTGAGGAGAAGGTTGGTTCACAAGTGAAGAGAGGGTAGGAGGCCCACTATCCTAGGCCAGAATAATTGTGGTGCGGAAAAATGAAGAGGCATCTGCGGTGCGGCAAGGGGTAACCAAGAGAAGTAGGGGCTCTGAGCACGCACGTTGGGACCACTGAGTGCGAGCTGGGGCCCATCTAGTATCGAGACGAGAAGGGAGAGGGGACATGATAATACACCCAGGCCGGAAAGATAGAGCCCCGTTTGGTACTGGGTTTAGGAAAGAGCAGTCAGTGCGCGCCAGGTACACGGTCTGTCCAAGTCGCAGAATGCAGGGAAGGGGCATCGCAGGAACCGGAGAGGGGAATTCACATAGGGCCAGGGAAACGAGGTGTCTCACCAAGGAGGGACCTGCAGGGTATGGGAACTGGAAGGGGAAAAGAGCGACGCGGGGGCATGGTCCGCAACTGGAGCCACTCACCTTGGGTTTGTACAGCCACTTTCGGAACCTGTTCATCATCGCCGCGCCGGCCCGGGCCGCGCTCCGGGCTGCCCTCGCCCTCCGCAGCGCTGAGCCCTGGCCCGGCTGCGGCACGGGGAGGACACGCAGGCAGGGCCGGGACCGGCCAGAGCAAGCGGATCGTGAGCGCCGAGCCGAGCGCAGAGCAGCTGGCGGCAGGTGCGCGGGGCAGGTGCGCGGCCGGAAGGATGCTCAGCGAGCGGCGCGCGACCGACCCAAACCCGCGGGCGGGCGGGCGGGCGCGCGGAAAGGCGCGGGCACTGGGCGCGCGGCGCCTCGCGGGTTGCTGGCACCCCGCGCCTCTGCCGGTTACAGCCGCACATGCGCCGAAGGCGCCACAAGCCCCTTGCCCGCCGCGAGTGGAGTGTGGGGCGGGCCGGGTGAGGCCGCCAATCCGCGCCCAGCGCCACGCCGCATCCCGCCCGGGACGCGCACCCAGGGAGGGCGGCTCCGAACTACAGGTCCCGACGCCCATCGCGAACCGGGCCTGCGTGGCGTTGCTAGGTGACGACGCCTAAACGACGCCCTGGCGAACTGCGGGTGCGGGCGCTGGCCGGTGAGGGCTCTGGCCCGCGGCGCCTGGAGAGACAACACTGGGGCAGGTGGAGGCCTGTGGAGGCCAGGCGGCCCGCAGGTAGGCGGGCAGGTGAGGGTGAGGGGCTGCTGTAGGGAGCCAGGCGCATCCCATCCTCACATCTTCTCCCTAACTCGTTTTCTTCAGTTCTCAAATCTTTGCTTCCTATATTTTCTGGTTTTAGCAAGCTACCTTTGCGCTCCTCTTCCCACCTCCCGGATAAAAGGTAGGGTGCTTTCCATCACCTCCCCTTTAATCGTCACAACAAACAGTTTTTTTAAAAAGGCCACTTTTCCTGTGATTCTCTACCTCCCTAGCAGTGCCTAAACTGGAATTTGTAAACACACAAACACAAACCTAGCCAAAAACCTGAGAATTTATCACGTGCCAAGAATTCAGCTGAGAACATGTGATCCCACCTAAAGTTCCCATGCACAGCGAAGAGTATTTGCCATAGGCAGTAGATCCCAAGAACCCCCAGGTGCACCTGCACCCAACAATTTTTTTCTTTCCCCTCACCCTCACCCAGAGCCACCTCTCCCGCTAGTCTGAAATGAGACGATGAAATGAGTGGGGCTTACCCTCGACCCAGCACACAATTCCTGTTCCTCCCTGGACTCCCTGACCTCTCCATTTCATTAAATTCAATGGGAGTCCAGCCCTCCAGCCCCGGGAGAGGTGTTTCTCTTATGCTGTGGATTCTGATTGATTTTCCTGCTTCCCTGTACCTGCCACCCAATCTCTCCTGCCCTAAAAAGCAAGCACCTCTGGAAGTGCTTCCTGTCTCCAATTCCTTCCCACCTGTTCTTTCCTGAACACACTCCCAGCCACTCCTCCGAAACACTTTACCAAAGTCCTCCTTGATCCCGGAGCTGCTAAATCCAATAAGGGGGTCTCATCTCTCCTCTCTCTCTTACTGTTAGCCACAGGTGACCCAGCTGACTGCCTCTTGAGTGATACAGTGTATGCATCCTCTTCTGCCCCGGCAGCTCCTGCATCTTCCCTCAGCCCCTCAGCTCTGGACCAGCTCAGCCTTATGGCCCACCACTATTCCTTATAAGCTGCTCTTCCACCCATTCCTGGGTAATTCCGGGTAGCCACATGGTTTTATAAACAGACATTTTTTTTTCTCCAGCCTAAATACTGGGTTTCAGACCTGTTTGCCTATTCTTCACTATTTGTACAACTAACAGATCACCTTAGAGTCCACATGTCCACAACAGTATGCTCTCCCATCATAAAAGCTGCCTCTAGGGCTAGAGAGATAGATAGCTCAGCCAGTAAAGCGTTTGCCTTGTTAGTGAGTCTGCCAGAACCCACAGAAAAAAGCTAGGTATGGGGCTGGAGATATGGCTCTGTGTATAGAGCACTGGGTGCTCTTGCCAAGGATCCAGATCCAGTTCCTAGCACCTACATGACTGCTCACAACTTTCTGTAACTCCAGTTCCAAGGAACCAAACCCCTTTTCTGACCTTCGTGGACACTGCATCCTTGTGGTGCACTTACATACATGCAGGCAAACACACATACATGTAAGATAAATAAATCTTTAAAAAAAAAAAAAAAGGCCAGGCATGGTGACAAACATTTGTAATCCCAGCACTTCAGAGGCAGAGAAGGTGGATCCCTGGGGCTCCCTAGTCAGACAGTCTAGTCTAGTTGGTGAGTTCCAAGCTAGTGGGAGACTCTGTCTCAAAGAACACAGCAGATGGTTCCTGAAGAACGACACTGAAAGTTGTCCTCTGGCCTCCCCATACAAATGCACATGCTTGTATATGCACCCGTATATACACACACATAAAAATAAATAGAATTTTTAAAAAGAAAAATAAAAGCTGCTCCTCCCAAAACCACCATCTTCTCCAAGTGAAAACTTGGAGCACAGATTCATGTCCTGTAATAAGTGAATAATAAATTATCTGAGGTCTGTGCATCATTAGCCAAGTCCAAAGCCTAGGGCTGTTGCTGTCCAGAAGCCCTGTTTCTGTGCTTCATAGTCGGAAGTTGTAGCCAGGATAGAGGCTGACCCCAGGAAGGTAGGTATATCAGGATCAGGCTTAACTACAGGCAACAACAGATTCTAGTATCATAGACTATTTCTGTTTCCATACAAGAGGTCTGTGAAGAGATAATCCTGGAGGGACAGCGGGAACCAACTTTTCTGGCTACCATCCCAAGCCCACGAACCTACTGGAAAAGAGAAGAAAGGGAGTACACCTCTCCTTCTGCCCAACACTCCCAAAGTTTGTTCCCTAGTACTTCTCAGAGATGGAAGAACTGGTACACGTGGCCATAGCCAGCTTCTGGGGAATTTGGGAAGTGTCATCGTCCAGTTGGGCGGCAATAAGCCCAAGGAAGAGTCAGGATTTGTTGCTCAGGAGGAAAGAAAGCCACAGAGAATGACTTGGTAGCCACACTTAGCAGAGAGGCTTTAGTCACGGGAAAAGAGCATGTTTTCATTAACGTACATTTGGGATCTCATGGCTGAAGAGCTGGTTTGTATCTGATAGAAATAAACCCTCCCCACCTGCTTTACTTCACTTTGCTTCAGCCTGCCTTCCAGGTCACCTCAAGTGACAGACCTGAGCCCTGATGAGAGAAGTGAGTTAAAGGGCCACATAGAAAGGAAATCAATCCTTAGGAACCAAATCTCAGTTCCCACCTATAAACTAAATGCTGAGGCACTCGGCATGTGGCTCAGTAGCCAGTTAACTACCTAGTGCATGAGAGGGGCTGGGTTCCATCTGCAGCACTCAGAGTAAACATACAAACTTTTAAAATAACGCTGGGGGCTGGAGAGATGGCTCAGCGGTTAAGAGCACTGGCTGTTCTTCCAGAGGTCCTGAGTTCAATTCCCAGCAGCCACATGGTGGCTCACAACCATCTACAATGAGATCTTGTGCCCTCTTCTGGCCTGCAAGCATGCTTGTAGACAGAACACTGTATACATAATAAATAAATAAATCTTTAACAAAAATAAAATAAAATAAAAAAATAACAAAAAATAAAATAACGCTGAATCTGGGTGTGGGTATGTGGGCGTGTTATCCCAGAGAGAGGAAGCTGGAACATGTCAAGACCACCTTCCCCAACACAAAAATAAACAAGGAGCTGGGCGGTGGTGGCGCACGCCTTTAATCCCAGCACTCGGGAGGCAGAGCCAGGCGGATCTCTGTGAGTTTGAGGCCAGCCTGGGCTACCAAGTGAGTTCCAGGAAAGGCGCAAAACTGGCGCAAAACTACACAGAGAAACCCTGTCTCGAAAAACCAAAATAAAATAAAATAAAATAAAATAAACAAGGAAAAATAACACTGAAAATGAATCCAAAATAGTAAAGGTGAGATGCTCAGAGCTGACTGAGCCTGTGCCTGTCTCCTACCCACAGACCTGATTGTTTAGCTCAAGTTTTAGGTGAATTTCAGAGGGGATTCAGAATCCACAGATCCTTTCCCTCATACCCACCTGAGCTCACAATGCACCTGCTCTTTGCCACAGGTGGGTGTGCAGGTTCCTGAAGGCCCCCTCCACCCCTTGAGAGCAGAGGGCTCAGGATGGATGGTTAGAGGCAGGCGAGGCTCCCAAGAGCTCCCTCCCCTCCTCCAGGCTGGTTCTTTCACGCATTCATCCTGTGTTCTTCTACCAAGCCCCACTCTGGATTCGGGAGGGTTTGGATTGATTCCTTCGATCATCCTCGACTCAGGACGATCAAGGGCATTTGACCCACCCTTTCTGCAGAGATGGGGGCTCCACAGTAGGGGAGCAGGAAGCAGTCCTTGCTCCCTGGCACCGCTGGGCAGCCCATCCACATAAGTTCAGCCCAGACCTCAGCCCTCTAGATTGGAAACTTGCCGAAAAAGGAAAATCAGAGTATCTAATGATGGTTAGTGTTGTCGACAGGATCTAGACCACCTGAGAGACCTCTGGACATACCTGCCTGGGTGTGTGGGTAGGTGGGTACATAATCTTGATTACCTTAACAAATGTAGAAAGACCCACCCATCTTAATTGTGGGCAGGACCATTCCATGGGCAGGAGATCCTGGACTGACTCAAACGGAGAAGATGACCTGAGCTATAGGATGCAACCACTCCTCTGTTTTCCTAATTGTGCATGCAATGTGGCCATTTGTCAAGCTCCTGCTGCACCTTGAACACTCGAGAGAAAGAAAACTTACTCTTCAGCATTGTTTCCAGGCAATGTGGTTTGTGTTTTGTTTTCCTCAGTGCTGAGGGTGGAATCCAAGGCATGGTGTCTTTTAGGCCCTGCTGTCCGGCTGAGCCCCACCCCTAACACTCTTAACACTGAGTCTTTTTTTTTAAGATTTTTCTTTTAATTTTAATTTTTATTTTATTTTATTTTTTTAAGATTTATTTATTTATTATGTATATGGAAGAGGGCACCAGATCTCATTACAGATGGTTGTGAGCCACCATGTGGGTGCTGGGAAATGAACTCAGGACCTCTGGAAGAGCAGTCGGTGCTCTTAACCTCTGAGCCATCTCTCCAGCCCTTAATTTTTATTTTATATGCATTGGTGTTTTTCCATGAGTGTTGGGTCCTCTGGAACTGGAGTCACAGACAACTCTGAGCTGCCATGTGGGTGCTGGGAGTAGAAGAACCCTGGTTCTCTGGAAGAGCAGTCAGTGCTCTTAACCCCTGAGCCATCTCTCCCAGCACTCAATTTATTATGTATAGTGTTCTGTCTGAATGTATGCCTACTCGCCAGAAGAGGGCACCAGATCTCATTATAGATGGTTGTGAGCCACCATGTGATTGCTGGGAATTGAATTCAGGACCTCTGGAAGAGCAGCCTCTGAGCCATCTCTCCAGCCCCCAACACCAAGTCTTTATAAACTCTTTGCCTGCCTGAGTCCTGGAATGTGTGTGTGCTGTTCTACTCTATTTCACCTCTTCACCAGGGATCAAGAGAGGCTTTTAAGACCAGGCCTCAGGCTCACACAGAAAGAAAATTCTTTGGGGTTAGGGAACCAGATTCCCCACTCCAAACTTCTCAACATGGATTTTGTTCTTAATTCTTTTTTTTTGTTTTGTTTTGCTTTGTTTTTTTCAAGACAGGGTTTCTCTGTGTAGTTTTTGGAGCCTGTCCTGAATCTTGCTCTGTAGACCTCGAACTCCCAGAGATCCGCCTGACTCTGCCTCCCCAGTGCTGGGATTAAAGGCGTGTGCCACCACCACTCGGCTGTTGTTATTTCTTTAGAAAATACTATCACAGCATCTATCCCCCAACTAAATGAGACAATAAAATTGAAGTTTATTGTGTAAAGGTCCCATGTAAGTAGAGGTTTAGAAAAGCAGATGATTTCCGGGCAGTGGTGGCACATGTCTTTAATCCAGGCACTCGGGATTAAATCCATACAGGTGGATCTCTGTGAGTTCAAGGCCAGCATGGTCTAAAGAGTGAGTTCCAGGACAGGCTCTAAAGCTACACAGAGAAACTCTGTCTTGAAAAAAACAAAAGGAGGGGTTGGAGATTTAGCTCAGTGGTAGAATGCTTACCTGGCGAGCACAAGGCCCTGGGTCCTCAGCTCCAAGGTTGAGAGAGAGAGAGAGAGAAAGAGAGAGAGAGAGAGAGAAAGAGAGAGAGAGAGAGAGAGACAGGATTTACAAAGTCATTGTGTGGGAAGAATAAAAGACATTCTGTTTAACAAAGTTAATGGGGACTTCCTGTTCCTCTACTGTGGAGCCAAATCTCTCTGCATGAAGCTCAGTGACAGAAACCTAGCATGATGAAGGCCCTCCGTTCAATCAGTGCAATCTTTCGGTTGGTTTTATCCTGGCCACCTGTGTCTTTCAGATTCGATGAGGAGCCTGTGTTAGTGTACTTAAACCTTTTTATGTTTTTGCATTCATCTTCACAGTTCACTCTCAGCTTAGGCCAGGTTTGGGTGAGGGACAGGGCCCTGCCCACCATGCTCGCCAAGGCTTAATGAACATTTTGTTATTATCAGAGAAGGTTTCCAGAAAGGAATCTCAGGCAAAGAAGGCAGGTCTCAGTGTGTCAGCATGTAACTCAGATGTAAAGAGATCACCTAACTTAAGGGAAGAAAAAGGAGCCATATGCAAAGACCCCTTGTGAAGGAAGAGGAGTCCTAGGCTGTGACTTTGGACTGTAAAGGGCTTGTGACATGCTGAGGAGACCCCTCTAGGTCCCACAGCAACTGAGAATTTGGGATTAGACTCCTGAGACCTCACCTCTCCACTCTGCCCACAGCAGCCAGGGTCAAAGGCCTATAGCCTACCACTGTTCCCACCCCACCCAACATTCTCAGGAACATGAATCAGCTCAGTTTGGGTGCATTGGGAGGGGTCAGGCTGGGAGGTCAAGTGAATGGATTTAAGGCTTCACCTAAACACATCCTCTATCTCATATGTGAGGCCAGGGGAAAAGGATTCCATGAACACAAGTAACTGACCCTGGAGGAGTCCGCAGCCTGTACCCCATCACGGACAGCATGGCTTCTGACACTGTAGGATGCGTACACAGTGAGAGCTGGCACTTGCTGTGAATCAGTACATGTCTTTTGTCCACTAGTTACACTTGGCTGAGGAAAATTGGATTTTTCTGGGCACACACTGAAAACTGTAGAGATGGGTATCTTTTCAGAACTAATGTTCTCTCCAGAGCTACCTGACAGCAGAGAGCACTGTTTGTCACCAAGACGCTACAAACTGGGAGTTGGAGAAGTTGGGACATAGTGCTTCCAGGAGTACAGACATCCCCCCCAACTCCCAAAACACACACACACACACACACACACACACACACACACACACACACACAGAAGTTGGGACATAGTGCTTCCAGGAGTACAGACATCCCCCCCAACTCCCAAAACACACACACACACACACACACACACACACGCACGCACGCACGCACGCACGCACGCACGCACGCACACACACAGAGAAAGGACCTTCCCCACACCCACGGAGCTGCCTTTAGCCAAGATTCCTGGAGTGTCTGAGATTGTTTTCGGCTTAGGAGAGATCCAGAGTGGAACAAAGGGCCCCCAAGAGCTGTTCCAGAGAAAGAGGGCAAAGGTCTTGCATGGCCAACAACATCCTGGCTTACAGGACTAACCAGTCAAGGGGTAGAGCCAGGAGAGGAACAGACCTCCAGGGCACTGCCTAGCAGATGTGGCCTCAGGGAGAGGCTCGGGCTCCAGCCCTTGGAATAAACACCAGGTCCCCCAGGCTCACTTGTGACAGAGCACCCTCAACAAAGCCAGAGGGGAAGCCACATGTCTCCCACTCCATGAAGTAATGTCCCAGAGAAGTGCCTCCTGGCCTTTTGTGTAACAATTGCTTAAATCTACCCATGTCAGCAGAGCTAAGTGTCTGGTGTGTTCTGTCCCTCCCAAAGAGAGGAAGCCATATTCAGAGAGGGTGAAATGGCCACTGGGCATGAAGCCCATCTATTGCTCATTCAGCGTGCATCATGGAATGGGAGCAGAGTGGGCAGTGGTTCCCAGAAGCAGTGGCTCAGCCTCCTCTTAGCACTCAAGTCTCACCAGGAAGCTCACTAGAAGTAACTTGAGTGACCAGAGAGGGAGGGGACCGGAGGAGCCCTCAGAGCCTTTCTCCTTGGTAGGCTCTCCAATAGTAGATGCTCCTTATAAGGTAGAGTGGCTTTAGTGGACAATCTCTAGCGAGGCAGGCTTCGAACCTCTCACCATACCCAATACCATACCTGGCTGCATCTTGGCAGGTGTGGATCTATGTGTGATGGATCTGGCTACTGTCTCCTCCTGCCCCTCTCATCAATATCCCATTGACCCATGAGGAATCTACCATGAGATGGCCCTGTAGGCTTCTCGGCATACGGCAAGGTTGCCCTGGTGCCTGTCGTCATGGGCTGAGCAGGGATGGAGTCCTAGCTATGCTTCCCCTCAGTGCCCACAGAACCTCCTATTGTGTCCCAAGAACCTGTTGATGGTCCCAGGGCTTCGAAGCAGTTTCCAGACTCCATGAGATCATTCTCAGAGAGACTGGTGTTACCTTTGTGGAGGCAGCCCTGTCAGGCCCTAGTTGTGGTAGTACTGGCCCAGAATGCAGCCAAGTTACATGGGGACTCTGGCCCTCAGTCAACTGGTCATCCAGCCTTTCCCCCCAACTACTCAGTTAAGCTTCCCAGGCAGCACCACAGAGAGGCTCCTCCCAAAGACAGCAGGGGAACCGCATTCTCTTCCTCTGGCTTCCTTGACTTGCTACCCACTAACCTGTTACCCTGGGGCCATCTGCATCTCCTTCCTCCACAACCACACTCCCTTGGGATCGACCTCAGCTTCCCAGACCCATGCCTGCTGCTCCCTGGACTTGTTCGGGGGTCAAGCAGGACCCTTGACAGGTGACCCTCTGGATCTTAGAGTGCTGACGCACGAGGCTACTTGGCAATCCTGATCTCTGCTGGAAGCATTTGGGGTACCCTACTCAGACTTTATAAGTTCTCCTTCTGCAGAACCCTCAGAGGCCTTGCCCTTCTGGAAAGATACATCCTTCCATTCTGAGTATGCCCCTGTTTTCTTTCTCTCTTCTGTCGTTCTTAAATTCTCATTCCTTGGTATTTTGACCACGTAGAACAGCTCCCTAATTTTAAAAAACAGCTGCTGGGCCTGGCCATTACACTGAGGACCTTGGTCTCTTTTCCTGTTACTATGATGAAATACTAACCAAAGCAGCTGGGTGTGGTAGTGCACACCTTTAGGCCCAGCACTCGGGAGGCAGAGGCAGGTGGATTTCTGTGAGTTTGAGACCAGCCTGGTCTACAGAGTCAGTTTCAGGACAGCCAGGGGTATACAGAGAAACCCTATCTCAAAAAAACAAAGGAAGTAAAGGAAGGAAGGAAAGGAAGGAAGGAAGGAAGGAAGGAAGGAAAGATGAAAGAAATACTGACAAAAGCAACTTCAGGGAGAAAAGGTTTATTTTATCTCATAGTTCAAGATTTAGCCCACCATGGTGGGGAAGTCGAGGCAGCAGGAGCCTGAAGCAGCTGGTCACATCAGATCAACAATTAGTAAACACAAAGGGGTGGCTGCGTGCTAGTGCTCAGCTCTCTTTCTCCATTTTATCTAGTTCTTATTTTAATTGAATGTTTCTTATTATTTCCATTTATTGTATGTGTGAGCATAGGTCCCGCCATTCACATGACACAGCATGAGAACTCCACAGCCTTCTGTAATTCTGTCTTTGTCACCTGCTGTGGGCAGAGCCTACTGAGAACTAGCCACCCTTCCAGTTGGGCTGAGGGTGTTCAGAGGCCTGCTTTCTGACCCGAGCCCCTCCGGGGGGTCACCCCACCCACAGCATGGCTGTGGGGCTTTGGTGACTGCCTTGAAACCCTGGGTGTAGGGCAGAGAGAGGGGAGGCTAGGGCTAAGTGGTGACCTGAAGTGAGCTCACCAAGGCAAACATCACTTGGGCAGCAGAGGCCTGAGATGCACTAACCAAGTAGCGAGTTTGAGCTTACCTGAGCCCAAACCCCCCTACCTCTAAAATCCTTGCTGTTTAATCCCATAACCCTTACCAACTTCCTGTTGGTGTGGGTAAGGGTCCTGCAACTACTTCCACCAACAGCCAACTCAGAGGTTGTGAATAATGGGACCTGTGTTGTTTTGTTTTAGGACTCTGCTTAAAAGATGGCCTATTATGGAAAATGCATTGAGATTGTAATGGAGCAACTTGACAAATTTAAGCCCGAGAAGGACAATCCTGAGCAGTTCCTGGAGACGGCATCTACCTCCTTACAGCAGGTAGGGTCAGGGGAGCCACTGGGTTCCTTGGGAGCCCACATCAGTGACATGTGTCACCTGGCATTTCACTTTCCAGCAAACAGCGTGAGGTCCATTCCTTCCTATGGGAAGAAGTATGAGACAAGGCAATCTATCAGAAGGCTGGTGGTCCTTCCATAGGCACCCCTTTGCCATGAGAGGGCCCCCAGCATCCAGAATGCATGTCAGACCTGGCTCTACCTAGAGCTACAAATCTCCCATGGTGCATTATGTGAGGCAGCTGCAGTCCCCACACAGGAAAGACTGCAACTATGTAGACAAGGACTTGCCTATGGGCGCAGTTCCTGGTGGATCGTTCTTAGCTCATGAGGACTCCGGTAGAGTCTGCACCCTACTAAGTGCCTCCACCTAGTGCTTTTCCCACCTCCCTTAAGCCCCACTTCAGTCTTTGAGCATAGCTATAACACACCTGAGGCTGGGGGGAAATTTATTTTTTGTTTTTGTGGGGTTTTTTTGTTTGTTTGTTTGTTTTGTTTATTCGAGACAGGGTTTCTCTGTGTAGTTTTGGTGCCTGTCCTGGATCTGTAGACCAGGCTGGCCTCGAACTCACAGAGATCCGTCTGGCTCTGCCTCCCAAGTGCTGGGTTTAAAGGCATACGCCGCCACCGCTGCCACCACCACCACCCAGCGAGGCTGGGAAATGTTTGCAGAATATAGCTGTCAAGGTTCTGGAAGCTGAGACATCCAAGATAGAGGCAGCAGTGTATCCCACTGCAGAAGGTGAGAGAGAGGCAGAGCGTGCCACTGGAATGTTCACCCTGAGCCTGTCACAATGGCAGCTACGCTTCCAAGTGGACTTTGGATGGTTAAATCTCCAAGCACACCCCTCCCCCCGCAGACTTGCCACCCTTTCTATTGGCAGCTCCAGACTCTGCCCAGGTTGTCATCCTATACACAAGCGCTGCAACATTCTGATTGGCTCTCTGGACACTACCTGCTCTGAGTCCCCTTCCCCCAGAGGCTCTGGCTTCTCCTTGTCAGGGTACTCAGAAGTCACCCCACCTGCTAATAGGTCCAGTTCTTCCTCCCCTCCATCCAGCACAGACCTCTCTCCCCGACCCTAGCCTCTTGCATCCAATGGTAAGTAGCACATCTGTCTAAGTAGCACAATCTAGAGTATTTATGTCCTCTCTGTTCCCATGAGCTCCCACAAACAGCTCATCTCAGCAGCCCAAGCTCAGTCATCAAGAACTGTGTCCCTTCCTGGCCCAGGTGAGGTACACACCTGCCCCCACACCCCACCTCAGCCCTGGTATAGCCCCTGTCCTATTCACTGCCAAAGCCCCCTCTCGCCTCTCTGTTCAGGGCACTGAACTGACACCCTTTCCTGATCTCCCCACAGATATGACACAGAAGTGAGCCTCCCTGCAGAGCCCCTCAGCTCCACTGTGCCCTCCCGGTTCCCCGGCCCATCCTCACGTCCACGCCTCCCTGGTGCTTTTTGAACAGTCCATTTGTTCCTCCCACTCTCCTTGCCACTCCCCACCCACCCACCCACTTGGAACACCCAGCATGCTCCCTGGCTGCTAAGTCTTTCAGGGCCTTGATAGAAGAGGGGCCCTTTCTTTCGAGCGAGGCAGAGAGAAGTTGGTGTCATTACTTTCTGAGGACCACGACAGAAAACTGAGTTTTAGGTCTCACAATTAGTGTGAGGCACTTTTTCCGTTAACAACCAATAGACTAATGGTAAATGAGTCCTGGTTGTCACTTGGAAAATCACAAAGTCGTGACCATCTGTGTGCCTTTCCATGAGACGCCTAGCACTCTGACGCCACCCAGCAAGTTGGCAGCAGTGGATGGAGCTGATATGCCCCGGAAGCTGATCTTCACCTCAGGCAGAGATGCAGAGCTCCTGCTTCAGATGTTGGTCCTTTCAGGCTCTGCCAAAGTTCCTCTGAAGCCGAGGTGGATCAGGGCCCTGGTGGCTGACCCAGTTTGAACAACACACTTTCATCTCCAGCTGTCAGAAACTTGCTGATGTACTGACTGTCAGGTCAAGGCTGGGGACGCCACCTGCCAGAAAATTACACAACCCCTAGACCACTAGGCAGAGGCTGATGGAGACTTCAGGGCAGGACATGTGGTGGGCGGACTGCATACCCTAAGTGCATGGTAGCCCTAGGCTTTTCTTATGGTGGACATATCCTTATTTGGATGCGCTGTCTGAGTAGATGAAACTAGGTTACAGCTGACAGCACAGAGCGTGGATCCAGCTGCAGTAGCCCGGGTGCACCTGGGCTGACTTGACTTGGGCCTCAGGAAGGGGGCAGGAGGAGTAAAGGGATCCCATCCACTAACCTGTGATGTCCCCTGGCCTGGGTACCAGGCAGCTCTGGAGGTCTAGTCTGTGGCTTCTTTCCCCACTCCTAATCAGTTACTAGCCCTTTGGAGCAAGCATAAAGTCACCGACACATTAGTCCCTGGGTACCACCTTGGCTTTCGCTGTGCTCAGAAGCCCCTTGCCTGGCAACTCAGGAATCCACTTGGGACTAGGGACGAAGGAGAGGGCAACATGGGCTCCAAATGCAAGCTAGGTAGCCAAGCAGTGAGGAAGAGTCTGATTTTGAGGAGCAGCAGATCCCTGGGCAGAGGGACCTACCAAGATGAGACCCCAAGAGCCCAAGGTTTACCTGGACTGAGAGTGTGTAGACAGGAAGCCAAGCAAGGTCTGTGTGCTTAACCTTCAGACCTGGCTACTCAGCCTGTGTGACTGGCCCATGGGGAGGTTGATTGTAAGCAGAAAAAGGTCAGAGCAGAACTTAGACTGTGGACAAGTGGGAATGAGCATAAGAAGATCCTGCAGGGCAGGACTAACAGGAAAAGCATAGGCAGCCAAATAGCTCTGGGTTAAGCAGCCAGAAGAGAAAGGGAGAAGTTAATGGGGCTTATACAAGAGTTTAGGTGAGAAGGGACTGGAGAGAGATGGCTGGGTGGTTAAGAGCACTGACTGCTCTTCCAGAGGCCCAAATTCAATTCTCAACACCCATATGGCACCTCACAACCATCTATAACTTCAGTTCCAGGGGATCTGATGCCCTCTTATGGACGCCTTGGTAGGTACTGCATGCATGAACATGGTGTACCAACATACATGCAAGCAAAGCACACATACACATAAAATAAAATTGTTTTAAAAAATAGCTGGGCAGTGGTGGCGCACACCTTTAATCCCAGCACTCGGAAGGCAGGGGCAGGTGGATCTCTATGAGTTTGAGGCCAACCTGGTCTACAGAGTGAGTTCCAGGACAACCAAGGCTACACAGAGAAACCCTGTCTCAAAAAATCATAAAAGGATGAAAGGAAGAAAGGAAGGAAGGAAGGAAGGAAGGAAGGAAGGAAGGGAGGAAGGAAGGAAGGAAGGAAGGAAAAAAACAAGTTAGAAAATGTTAGAAAATTTGTTCCACATTAATATTTATTAAAATGCCCAATATGTTCACCATGGCTTAAAACAGTGTTCAACAAGAGTCTCCCTTCAATGCCAGCCTCAGGGCTGAAGCAGAGAGTAGAATTTGGTTCTCTCTAAGGACTTGCCAGGAGGCTTGGCTTGCATCTAGTAAATAATAGGTAAAAATTAGGTAAAAAGGATATAAGTGAAACTATGTTGCACATATTAATACAAAAGTTTTGCTATGGTGTAAAGGTGGTTTCCCCATCAAAGTTCATGCTGAAGCTGAATTTCTCGGGACCACAGTGTTTAAAGATGATGTAGGGAGAGATGTTTCAGTCCCTGGGGGTGAAGCCCTCAAGAGTGACTGTGTCTCCCCAAGTGAGTTCTTGTTCTGGCCTTTGCAAGAGAGTAGGTTGTTATAAAGCAAGGCTAGCTCTTGTGTTTCATTTCTGTACACATATCTGGTGCCTCCTCTTCTCTGCCATACATGGAGCAACACGAAGCAATTCCTGGAAGTCATGCAGGAGCTGGCACCATTCTCTTGGACTCGAAAAACTGTGAGGAATTTTGAAGAGGAGGTATGATAGTTAACCTTCATCATCAACCTGACTGGATTTAGAATCAGCTAGGAAACAGAGCTCTAATGCCTCTAGGTATCTGGACTAAAGGCAGATAGATCAACGAAGATAAGAGGGGAAACAGAAAGGGTACTTGGGATATCAGGCAGAAGATTAATTGCTGAGAACAGGGGGTCAATCTCAGGAGTCCAATGGCAGAGCCCTTAGTGTGAGCATATGCTGGACTCCGAGTGAGGAGGCCAAGCATACAGCCAGGTGGAGGGTTCTGGAGTGTAGGGAGAGGTACAGGCTGGTGAGGGACATTTCAGGGCCAGCATGTTCTCAGCCTGAAGTTGGACCAGGTCACCGGGGTACTTGTGGATAATGGAGACACAAGCCAAGGTGGCCAGTGTGGGAGCCCACAGAGGTTTCCTAGTGAGATCTGAGCTTGCTTTCCCAGCAGGACTGCATCAGAGGATGACTGGACCATGGGCCTGGGTACCAGGTGGTTGGAAGGGTCTTACACTTGGCTGTATCTAGCAAGGGGGAGGTCTTTTGCCTTGCCCCCTGGCATTATTATAAAAAGCCCTTTTGAATAAAGTTCTGAGCCAGTGGATAAGTATCCAGGCCCTCCTGAGGCTATCTGGTGTTTCTATCTGTTTCTCTCCCCTCTATCCTTCTATCTAAATCTCTTATTCCTCACTCCTCAGGAGTACCCTGGGGAAAAAGGTGGGGGCAGGTCCCCCACAGGCCAGCAGATATATTATAGCCAGATGTGTTCCAAAAGGAACCTGGGAAATGGGCTGGGACTCCACCTAGAATCTTGTGTTGAGAGTCTTGGGAAGGGTGGAGGAGTAGGGGGCAGCCTTCAGGGGACCTCTCCTGGCATGGCTGCCACTATCCGTACAACAGGCACATCTTAGTGGCTGTAGGTTTTAGGGAAGAAGAGGTAAGGCAATTCCATTTACACATTCTGTTTTTCCTGCTAGTGTTTTATTAACAAGCTGGCTCAAGAATGCCTTTCCAGGCTCTTCCTAGTGCTGGGAAACAAGGACAGGACCAGAAATGACACAGGGAAACCAAATCATGACTTGGCATATGTTCTGGGTCCTGCAGGCTCTTCTATTTACCCTCTTATTCCTTTAACATAAAAATAATTGAGTCGGACGGTGAGTGACGCAGACCTTTAATCCCAGCACTTGGGAGGCCGAGGCAGGCGGATCTCTGTGAGTTCAAGGACAGCCTGGTCTACATAGTGAGTTTCAGGACAGCCAAAGCGACACAAAGAAACCCTGTCTTGAAGAAAGAAAAAAAAACTTCAAAAATAGAGCTGGCAAGATGGCTTGGTGGGTGAAGGTGCTTATAGTGTCAAACCTGATGACCCGAGTTTGGTACCCAGGACACACATGGTAGAAGAAGAGAACCATTTCCTAAGCTGTCTTCTGACCTCCTCATGTGTGCCATGCCATGTATGCCTACACACAGGTGCGCACACGCGGATGCATGCGCACACAAAATAATTATTGCGTGTAATTTAAAGACTCAAAACATTGAGATACCAGTGTTCACTGGTAGAGGCATGTGTGGCTCCGGTGGAGTGCATTTAATTGTTCGTCTCTAGTATTGCAAAAAAATTAGTAAAAGAGATACTTTTCTTAAATGGACACTGTGGAAACTCGGGGGTGGAAGGTTGTTTTGTTTTGTTGTTTTTGAGACAGGGTTTCTTTGACTATCCTAGAACTCACTCTGTAGACCAGGCTAGCCTCGAACTCAGAGATCCATCTGCCTCTGCCTCCCAAGTGCTAGGATTAAAGGCGTGCACCACCACCGCCTGGCTGCTCTGAGGTTTTTTTTGATGCAGCCTTTCTGGAAGGTACTTTGACAGAGGCAGGTTCTGTTAAAAGGGTTGGCCAGCTGGGGGAAAGCTGTTACTAATTTTGAAGTTGTTAGAGAAGTGTGGGTGCAAAGGAGCAGAGAGGAGTGGCAGGTGCATGGGCCACCAAAGTCATAGCCCATGGTTTCACTGTGGGGTGTGCTATTTTGTCATCCCCTTGTAAATCTTAACATGGCATCATTTTAATAGCTGCATCATACTGGTCTGCAGGATGGAGCAGTGGTGTCTGGCCCGGTGGTCACCTGCTGTTGGACCCTTGTTCCTGTTTTCATTGCTGCCCAGACCTCTTCCCCTGATGTGTACACATGAACATTTTCTGTGTTCTGGAAGGCTTCCTTAATTCCCAGCAGCACACTTACTCTGTGAAAGGGTCATGAAAATAAAGCTCCCGAAACCTATTTTCCAAATTGCTTTCCGGAAAGGCTCAGCAGCCAGTGTCCCACCAAGTTTCTAGGTGCTGTGCTGGCACCAGCGGATATCTTCATTTTCCTTCTCCATCAAAACTTAATTACATTTCAGACCTTAATTTGAAAACATTAATTACCTTATAAAATAATTAACATATGTCACACACGGGTCATATTATCATTTGGTCTGAATTGTCTCCCAAAGGCTCCTGTGTTGAAGGTCTTGCTCCCAGTGCAGTGTTCAGAGGTGGGGCAATTGGGAAGTAATTGGATCCTAAGAGCTCTGACTTTGTCAACTGACAGCTTCACTGACAAAATCATAGCGTGATAGCATTATTCAGAGCTGGTGGGAACTGGGTGAGAACCTGAGGAAGCATGTCACTGAAAGGGTGCCTTGGAAGGATATAGCCTGTGCCCACCCCAGCCTCCCCTGCTTCCTACCACCATGAGATAACGAGCAGCTTCCCTCTGATCTGCCATATCTCTATTTTACTATGGGCCAGAAAACAATGGAGCCAGCTACCTGAGGACCACGGCCTCTGAGACCATGAGCCAAATTATTTTTTTCTACCTGTAAACTTTTTTTTTAAAGTGTATTTACTTTTATGTGCATTGGTGTTTTGTCTGCAGGTATGTCTGTGTGAGAATGTCAGGTTTTGGAGTTACAGACAGTTGTGAGCTGCACATGGTTGCTGGGATTTGAACTCTGGTTCCCGGGAAGAGCAGTCAGTGCCCTTAACTGCTAAGCCATCTCTCCAGCCCCCTGTAAACTGTTTTGTCAGATTTTTTTTTTTTTTTTTTTTTGGTTTTTCGAGACAGGGTTTCTCTGTGTAGCTTTGCGCCTTTCCTGGAACTCACTTGGTAGCCCAGGCTGGCCTCGAACTCACAGAGATCCGCCTGGCTCTGCCTCCCGAGTGCTGGGATTAAAGGCGTGCGCCACCACCGCCCGGCCAGATTTTTTTTTAAATCACAGTGATAGAAAGTCTTGACACTGGTCACAAAACCAACTGTTTGAAAAGATAAGTGAGAAAAGTCAGCCCTGCCTCACCTGCCTGACCAGCTCCCTCCCCAGAGGAGACAGAATTTAGAAATTTAGAGTCAATATCTCTATCTGTCTATCTATCTACCTGTTTATCTATCTATCTATCTATCTATCTATCTATCTATCTATCTATCTATTTCTCAATCTCTCACTCTCTCTCAGTCCCTCCCCCCTCAAGACAGGGTCCCCCTAAATAGCCCTGGCTGACCTGGAACTGAAGTAGACTAGATGGCCTTGAACTCAGCCTGCCTCTATTCCAAGTGCCTGGATTAAAGGTATGCACCACCATGCCTGGCTAAGGGAACAGAATTCTTACCGCTACCTAGCAGCTCCCATACTGCTTTTTATTCTGGACAGGCTCTCACAGATTTCCCTTGATCATGCAGCATTCTTTTGGATGTTTTATTTCTTTATTTGAAAGCCTTTATATGAATTCATGTTTAAGTTATTGTGGCAAAATGCACATGACATAAATTTTGACCATTTTAACTATTTTCAAGGGGCACAAAGCACACTCACAGGACTGTGTAGCCATCCGTCACTTCCATCCATCTCCATAACCCTCTAGTCTTCCTGACCTGAAACTCTATCCCCAGAAACACCAGCTGCCTGGCTTCCCGTACCCTCCCCAGACACTTGCTTGCCATTCTTCTTCTATGTCTATGGCTTCGCCTGCCCTCGTATGGGAGAATATTTGCATAACGCTTGTCCTTCTGTGGTTTTTATTGTCATACTGTCTTCCGTGTTTATTTTGTCTTTGCACCCACTTTGTCCTTACTCACCCTGGGGGTCCTGCCTTTCCAGTCACTGTGGTCATTGCCCACTGCTCTAGGAGAGCTGAACTAACTGGCCTCTCTTCAGCCATGTGGGAATGTCTATCCCCTACCTTTGTCCTTGATCTCCTGGTCCTCGAAAGCTCTCCCCTGGCTTTCTTTTCCAGGCTCTGACCCCCCAGAAGCTTGCCTTTGTTTTGGAGGTTCTGTCCGGCTGCCTTGAATACCAGAAGTTACTGACCATCGTGGTGGATGCCTTCTATGTACGGGATGGTCGGCTCTGCCTGTGGGCCGACTACAGCCTCTTTGAGGGTGCGTATATCCACTATCCACATGTCCGTGAGGCCTGGCCTGCTGCCCACTCCAGACAGGGACTAGAGAGGAAGCTAGCACAGACCCTTGACAGGTTGACTTGAGGCCAACAAGCAGACCAGCTTCAGGACACAGAAGGCAGCTCCTCCTGCTTCGGCCATAGCGTTCTTTCTCTCACTTGATTCGCAGGTGCCTGTAAGTCTGTGGCCCAGGCTAGATATATTTTATCATTTCTACATTTCCTCATGGGGAAACTGAAACCTGGATCTTGAGAACAGACATGCAGCCTCTGGACCCCCAGCCACTTGTCTGGAAGAGAATGCCTCTAAGGGCAGGTTGGGCCAAATGGCATACCTCTTTTAAGTCTGTTTGTGTCCCTAGCCCTGACACCTGTGGAGAGAATAGCCATATACTAGTCTGGATCATCCAGGGAGAGATTAAATATGAGAGCCACCTCTGACCACTGTCCACATTCACAGAACATGGTGACTTGTGGACAGTGGCTGGTGCTACCATCGAGCAGAGAGGGATCTAGTCCTAGGAGCTGCTGTTGGTCTTGATGCTGGCCCAGGAGGTGGAGAGGTATGGGCTACAGCATACTGGTAGGCTCAGACTGGTGACTGGCGCCAGGTGCAAAGCTGGGGCTGACCCTCACTGCCTGGCTCAGAGCAGAACCAGCAGCCTCATCAGAGGAACCTCCATCCCCAAAGGCTCAGAGTGACTCAGCTCACAAAATCGACAAAACCGAAGATGATATCACTTTTGCCCAGAGAAATCCTGGGATTTCTGAGAATTGACCCAATGCAGTGTAATGTGTGTGGAAACTAAAAGCCCCAAGTGGCTAGTTCTACAACCACTGAGCATGAAGTGGTAGTTGCCGTATGGGCCTGTCCTTATGTGCCCTGACAGAACAAGGTGCCTGCAAGACTCTCAGCAGCTGCAGAATTCTCCCAAGGTCACACACAGAGCCCCACTGCAGGGCAGCTGGGCACTCCTCATACCATGCTCTCTCTCTCTCTCTCTCTTCTCAGTGATCTGCTACCTGGCCATGTTCCAGCTGGATGAGCTCGGCTTCCAGCTCTTCTGCAACATCATCAGGTCCCAGCCTGTGGACAAGACTTGCAAGGTGAGATCCGCTGACCCCACAGGACCATGGTTGAGACTACCAATCAGGAGGGACCAGAACCAGGGCTAGATGTGCATCTGATCGATCAGCCCCGCCTTTCATCCTCTAGCTAGAGTAACTGGCAGGTTCGTCTTTTCTCTACTTAATACCATCTGATACCCCTATATCGGACAATGTTTTCTGTCTCAGGGAAGTCTGGCTATCTGGTTGGTTTAGGAAGGACAGGATTTCCTACCTGCACATACCCCACGATGGATAAGCAATTAGAATTATCTTAAGCAAGGGCTTCATTTTTGTGACAATGAAGTTAAAATCGATGGCATCTTCTGAGTGATGCTTTGTGACTGTCCTGGCCAATTCTACACTCAGCATGACCTGTACTTGGCTCAGGCTTTGCTGCCTTGTGCTGGAATCCATAATGACTATTGAGCAAACATCCACCTTGCCTCCTACACTGGGTCCCACAGTGCTGACTCAACAGATGCTTGGGGTGCAGATCACATACTACTCTCAGGATATGCACAGTGACCCCAGGCCAGTACCTGGTCTCTGACCAGCCTAGGGAGCTCTGGAGACCATGACATGGACCCACATAGGAGACAGGCCTTGTGGCCTCTAATCCCAACAGCTTGGGAGGCTGAGATAAGAGGGCTAGCCTGAATCCCCATCTCATAGTTAAAAGAGAGAGGAGAGGGAGAAAGAAAGAAAAGACTGAAGCTAAAGCTTAGCTTAGAATATTTCCTTAGCTTGTGTGGGGTCCAAAGGAAAAAAAAAAAACTCCAGGGACCTTTAGACAAATTTCTAAACGGACCAAAGCTGCAGAGGTCAAATGGTGACCAGCACAAGGCCGTCCATACTCCATGACCCATTGGGTGATTCTGGTCCCATTAGAGTCCCTCTATCTGCCTCAGAGCTCTGGGAAGAGGCCAAGTAAAGATGGAGATCCAGCTGTTGGCAACAGGGTGGCCTGTCTTAGCTGCTGCTGCTGTGGTTGGGAGTGACATGGCTATAAAGCATCTCAGGCCCAGGTTGCTTGGAAAGCAGTTGTAATTTGTAGCCTCCACAGGGGATGCTGCCTGCATGGCTCCAAGACCACAGGTAGAAGAGACAGATGTAGATCCGGGCGGTGGTGGCGCACGCCTTTAATCCCAGCACTCGAGAGGCAGAGCCAGGCAGATCTCTATGAGTTCAAGGCCAACCTGGTCTACAGAGCGAGATCCAGGACAAGCACCAAAACTACACAGAGGAACCCTGTCTCGAAAAACCAAAAAAAAAAAAAAAAAAAAAAAAAAGAAAGAAAGAAAGAACTCCAAAAGCCAGGCATGATGGCACACCTTTAATCCCAGCACAAAACCAAAAAACAAAAAGAAGAAGAAGAAGAAGAAGAAGAAGAAGAAAGAAGAAGAAGAAGAAGAAGAGATAGACGTCCTAGCACCTGGGAACCCCACCCTCATGCACTAAGAACCTTCAAGATGGTCAAAGGCTACTTTTTCCTGTAGCCTGGCTAGTCTGGAACTCAATATATAGACCAGGCTGGCCTCAAATTCACAGAGATTCTCCTGCCTCTGCCTCCCAGTTGCTGGCATTACATGCCACAACGCCAGCCAATGATCCATGTTTATTATTTTTAATTGTATGTATGTGTCACTGTACAGATATGTGCACACGTCAGTTCCCTCAGAGTCCAGAGGAGAGCATTGGAGCCCCTGGAGTTGGAGTTACAGGCAGCTGTAAGTCACCTGACTTGGGTGCTGGGAACTGAACTCTGGTCTTTTGTAAGAGTCGTACATGCTCTTAACTAGTAAACCATCTCTCTAGCCCTCTCCCCAAATCAGAGGGCTTTTTAGACCCACAGGGAGCCCCATTCCCCACTCTAGCAGGGTCTCTAATAACACTGTCCTGCCACATCCCATTGAGAACGGTGGCCTTGATCCTGCTGAGATGCTGGTATGAGGGTGTGGAGAGGAATGGAAAAATAGAAAAAAAATGATAGGATGTACCCCAGTGGGATTGGGCAAGGAGGTGAGGACCCTAGAGTCCCGCCACAGGGGCCAGCTTCCTGTTCAGGTGTCAAGACTGACAGCTGAGAGATTAGGAAGTGGGTGATAGGACACTGGCCATGGGCAAGGGCTGAGAAGGTGAGAGGCCACAGAGGTAAATGATGAAAGTCGGCAGGTGGCCAAGGGGGAAACTGTAGAAAGCTCTGGAACCTTGGTTCTCAACTTTCCTAGTTCTGTGACCCTTTATTTTCATTACTACTTCATAACTGTAGTTTTGTTACTGTTATGAAGTGTAATGTGAATAACTGATATGCAGAATAGTCTTAGGCAACCTCTGTGAAAGGGTTGTTCGACTCCACCCCCAAAGGGGTCATGACCCACAGGTTGAGAAATGCTGCTCTGGAAGATGGCCTCTGTTTGGAATAGGGTTGCAGGCCACAAGGAAGCTAGAGGCTGGTGAGGGTGAAGTTGATGAGGACAGCAGTCACACTGGGAGGCAAGAGTGACCAGAGGCCCTGAATGGTCGTAGCCTTGTTCACCATGGTCCTCTCAGCTGGCCATGCACTTCCAGGGTCACCTCCCAAGTCCATTTCCTGCTCCCAAGTACCAGCTGTGTGTCTTGGGTCACTACAGAGCTCTCCTGGGCTCTGACATGTGGTCCCTGGATCCTGCATCAGGATAGTGGCATAAATGTAGCCCATTGGCTGTCCTTCTGATTGGTTTTGGAGACTGCCTCAATCTCAGGGCTGAGATCAGACACCCACTGTGACTGGTTGACTGACAACCCACCTTCCCAGGTCTGAGGGCTTTCCCAGCCCTCCCCCAGCAACGCTGTAGTGGCAAGGTTACGGGGCACAGAAATGGCATGATTACACTCCCAGAATTACAGAGCCCACTGGATGGGGCAGGGTGAGTGGCAGGCAATCCTCCACATGTCGCTGCAGCATCTTACCCAGGAGTGGAACAAGGGGCCTTCCTGGCCTAGAAGCTGGATGAATGCCCTCTGCAGTAGGTGTGACAACTGAATGTCACAGCCTGTTCTGGCCCCTGTACGCAGCGCTGGGGCATCAGTGGGAGGTGGTTGAGCCACAGCTGAGCTGCTGAGGGACTTTCTACCTCAGTTCCTCAGGTTCTTCTTTAACCCCTTGAACCTGTGCTCATGGATCAAAGACGAGTGGAGCCTCATCTACGATACGACCCACGTGAAGGAGAACTGGATCGACCCTCTGATGAGGTGGGTCAGTGGTGGCAGGGCACCAGGTCTCAGAAAAGTGTCTTGGGCCCACTCCAGGCACTTCGGGAGCGGGGCTCCTCATTCCCTTCCTGCTCATGGAAGCTCTGTGAGTGGCCAAATCCTGTTCTAGGTTAGGATGAGAGGCCCAAGATGCAATGAATCTACCTACCACAGCCTGTGGCAGGGATGGCAAGATGCAGTGTGGATCTCCTAGATTCCTCCCCTCTGAGAGGTCTGGGAGAGCATTGGGTCTTCCTGGGGACAGGCAGATAGCCTGGACCCAAGCAGACTGTTTATGTGTTAGCTGTGTGTCGGAGGCTTTGGCCCCATAATGGGGTTTCTCAGAGCTACACTTTTGTGAAGGAGAGCTTTGCTGTCCCAACTGATTCCCACTGTCAGCAGTTAGGACAAACTCCAAAAACTGAGGGGACAGCTGTGTGCTGTTTCCATACTCACCACAGGCCTCCCAGCCCTCTCTGGGACCAGCCTCAGCACACGCCTCCAGCTGCTTCCCCACACCTCCCCTGAAGCTGGAGGCCCCAGTCCAGGTGTGGCCTTCTGAAAGCCCTTTGCTGTTAGTCCTCATGGCAGCCTCACTTCCTCTGCGTAGTCCTAGAGATGAGGCAGAAACTATTTCAAGCCATGCATCCACCCTTGATGAGCCCTGCAGGAGGTAACACTGAACAGGCTGGTGATGATGGCGTAGGTCCTCTCAAGGTATGGAGAGCGGAAGGGGGAATTCCTAGACCTCTGGACCACCTACCAAGACCCTTCTGAAGCCCCTGCTCCACAGGACCTTGAGGCTGAGCACAAGGACAGTTGCATGTCCCTTAGGGGATGTGGCCCTTACCCCACCCAGTACCCACAGTTCCCTCCACCTGTCATCAATAGTGCTTCTCCAGAACATTCCTTTCCTATTGCCGGCTTGTTTTCCCTGTTCCCAGCTACCTCCATCAGTACCGTATGCACTGCCCGTATTAGCTTCCTACCCGAGTTCCTGCTTGTCCTTAAGAGAGTTCCACATCCCCGCAGTGGGGGTGTTTCAGCATCCCAGCTCTCCTGTCCCCTGTGCCTCAGTTTTCTCATCTGTGCAAAGGGAGACTTAATGCACGTGCTGGAAGGTGTGACTAAACTGTACTCACAAGTTAGAGAAGAAATGTCACCTGTTCATCATGACCTCACCCTGAGGGACAACCACACACTTAGGGGTCTTCACATCCCAAGGGCCAGCTTCTTGGTGACCTGTTTAGGATGTGACTCTAGAGCCTTCTCCACTTTTTCCTTCAAGATGGCAGCCAGAGGTCCAGGAGCTAATCAACCAACTGGAAGGGGTGCCAACCGATCAAACTCTTCTTTTAAAGACCAAGGCCAAGGTCACACGGCCCAAGGAATTCAACCTGACTGTCCCGAAGCCCCGTGCCATTACAATGCCTGAGCCTGTACCCACTGTGGCCAAGACAAAACCTGTGAGTTGGGCATTTGTGGTGGACACAGGTCTGCACCATCAGGATGTTCAGGCTGGGAGACTGGACTGTGGGGGTCATTGGGCAGCTGGGCTCCTCCGGGGTCAAGAGTGTACTGGACCATCCAGGAGCATTCAGTGACCCACAATGCACCCACACACTCCCACACACCCTTACACACCCACACAGAGAGGGAAGTAGGCTGACCCAGAGCCCACCACATTCTCAACCCAATCAGGAGGTGCTAAGTGATACTATCTGGCCATGGGTTTAGACCTGTCTGGATTATGCTTGGAGTTCACCATTAGCCATGGCACCCACCCTCCCCATTGGATAGTACACTTGAAAGTCACCGTGTATATGCTTTTCAGGCTGGGTCAGGAGTGTCTTCCTGAGTCCCAGAAACGCCTGACCCCTACTCAGGGAAGTTCATGTCTGTCCCCTCTGCTGAGAGCCTGTCTTTCTCCTGTCTGTTTCTGATTTATCAGTCAGGATGCTCTGAACTGCACGTAACAGAAAAATGCAGCTCAACTGGCGGCTTAGACAATAGACCACTAGTATTAAAGTAGAAATAGGCTCCAGATACAGTTTGATCAGGGTTCCAGCTCTCTTTCTCTATGACTGCCTCTACACTAGTCTCCTCTGTAAGTGGATTTCATCTTTAGATTAACTTCATCTCATTTTAGTTAAAAAAAAAAATGAATCCATGTCTTGTGTCTACATTGTACATTGTCTAGGACAGGAAAGAATGTATAGGGACAGGAGCGATTCAGAAAAGTCTGATTGGTCCAGTTCAGGCCTCAGGCATGCTTAAACCGGTCACTGGCTTTCTGAGTGCTAAGTCCTGACCAGACTCTGGATTCCCACAAGCACTAGCAGTGGCCTCCTAGGTCAGTCTGGTCCTCCTAGAATGAAGGACTACAGAGGAGTGAGAGGGGACGACACTGGAGGTCCCGCATCTCACCCTAGTTCCTCCAGTTTTCAAGTCTCACTGAAAAATCTCATTCCAGAAGCTTTTCATGAGGCCTCAGCTCTCTGGGTCCCCACCCGGTTTTCTTCTTCTTAACTCATCTTTTCTCCACAGCATTGGTTACTGTTTACAATTTGTGGATCTGCTTATTGCCTGGCTCTTGATCTGTTTTATTCATACCGTATTTCCAACACAGGTGGTGAAGTCATGGCTTAGAGAAGACATTCAATAAATACTTGTATAGGATGGACAGATAGATGAGTGGATAGATGGGGGCATAGATGAATAAATGGCTATATGGGTAGTGGATAGATGATGAGTAACCAGGTGGATGGATGGAAGATAAGTTACTGGGGTTTTGTTGCTAGGTAACTCCACAGTTTGCTCATCTACAGGATCTCTGATGTTTCTGGTACAAACTCCTCAAGAATTAATCCTTCTAGCCACCTCTCTTTCTGTTTGTTCTGCTTGGCTGAGGGACAGTTCTGCTTGTCCCCTCACTGTGACATAGTAGACCTTCCCTGAGCTCATTTTTGTGTTCACAAAGCCTGTGTCCAACACCCTCCGTGCTCTGACCCATGGCCAGGACTCCCTTTCACCTCCTAAGCTGAGGAGGTATGGGTGCCTGGAGGCACAGATAGTGAGCAAAAATATGCACTAGCCCCAAGGCAGTGTCCTTCCATCCTCCCAAGTTGGACAGCAGCCAGGGGAGGCCTCAGTGCAGTGGGAGTGGGGTGGGCAAGGAGATGCAATCTTCCTAGTATGGATGCAGAGCATGGAGGGTGCTGGACACAGGCTTGGTAGATACAGAACTGAGCTCAGGGATGGTCTGTGTTATAGTGAGGGGACAAGCAGAACTGTCCCTCATCCAAGCAGAGCAAACAGAAAGCATGAGGTGACACTCAGTCAGGTGGGTCGGAACCAACACAGCTCTTCCTGGCTGTCAGGAAGAAAGAAGCCAAGAAAACAGCACTTAGTAGAACTTTTAGAAGCAGGTGGGCAAGACTGGAGATGGCTCTGGGTGTGAAGGACACAGTCACAGAGGAAGGCCTTGGTGAAAAAGAACACCAGGGTCCCCAGTGAGGGTCATCAAGGCTCGGGGAAAGATAGATAGAGGAAAATGAGACCTTTAGTTTGGATGAGTTGAGTTGGTCATGTCTTTGAAACGTGCAGAGGAGAAGACAAGGATTAGAGGGACTGGTTCAGGAATCTCAGGCTCAAGGGTGACAAGGCTGGTCCCTCACCTGCCCTCTGATGGACACAGCTCCTCTAGGGACATTGAGATTCTCCTGTGACTGAACTCAGAGGACAGACCAAAGTCTTCTCTTAAAGTCCTTTCATGGGCAGCTTACTTTTTCTTTTTCTTTTTTTTTTGTAAACAATGCGTAATACTCTCTGATCCCTCTACCCACCCCTTCTGTCTTAAGAGCTGGATGCCTCCCCTTGCACACCCTGGCTTCTCCCCTGAAACAATGGCATGCCCTCGGTGCCCTGGCCTTACCGTTCCCTCTGTCTATCCCCATCCCATAATGAACTCTAGAACCCATGCCTGCTGCTGGTCTGACCGTCTACACTATGCTTCACTAACCACTCACCCCTTGGCCACTCCACCAGATCCCTCAGAGCACCTACCAGGAGCCCGTGGAGCAGCAGCTTCTGCAAATGATCAAAAGATACAACCGCCGGAAGGCTGAGGTGGCCACATGGGACCCCTGTCTCCCTAGACACCCCATTGGGCTGTTAAGAGCAGGGGAAGGGGAGAAGGTTGGGGACCTTAGGCATAGCACATGCATTCTACCATCACCCCACAAACACACACACACACAATGGCCTGAGGACCCTGGGTTGCAGCTGGTGGGGAAAGAACAGCATGATGTCATGGCAGGAGCTGCTACTGAAAGCGAACATGGAAGAGCTACGGTGTGCTATGCCCCGGTTGCACAGGGATTCACAAGCACAGGTAATGCCCAGCTTCCAAGGCAAGCCCAGTCTTTTTTCTTATGCCGTAAAGTTCTTCCTACTGGGGCTGAGGATGTAGTTCAGTTGGCAGAGTGTTGCCTGGCATTCATGAAACCATGGCTTTCATCCCTGGCACCACATAAACCAGGTATGGGTGGCACATGCCTGTAATCCCAGAACTTGAGAGGTAGAGACAGAGGATCAGTGGTTCAGGTCATCCTTACCTTACAGCCACATGTGCCACAGCACACTTGTGGAGGTCAAGGGACAGCTTGCAGAAATTGATTCTCTTCTACCATATGGGTCCCAGGGAGGGAACTCACGGCCATCAGACTCAGCAGCAAGTACCTTTACCCACTGATCCCTCTCCCCAAACTCATACGGGAAGACAAGAAAGACTGGGTGTAGTGACGCCCTCCTTTAATGCCAGCACTCAGGAGGCAGAGGCAGTCTACATCTTTTAGTTTTAGTTTGAGCCAGCCTGGTCTACATAGTGAGTTTCAGGCTAGCCATAACCAAATAGTGAGACTCTGTAGCCAGGCGGTAGTGATGCACCCCTTTAATCCCAGTACTCAGGAAGCAGAGGCAGGTGTATCTCTGTGAGTTCGAGGCCAGCCTGGTCTACAAAGTGAATTCCAGGACAGCCAGAGCTGTTACGTAAAAAAAAAAAAAAAAAAAAAAAAAACCAAAAAAAAAAAAAAATACAAAATCCTGTCTCAAAAAAACAATTAATTAATTGATTAATTAATTAAAAGACTAGGGTGATTATGGACCAATACAAAGAAGTTCTGTCTTCCAGAGAAACTCACTGAAGAGTGGGGGCCACACATGATCTAACAGCTGGGTAGTTCCAGGGCTATGTATTCCAGTCAGCAGCATACTTGGAGTTGCGATGGCTGCCTTTATGGACTACTATTCCTCCATACTGGCACTTCAGCTCTCCCCAACTTTTATCAAGGGACAGCAAGAGGCATGGGGCAGGCATTCAGCCCAAGAAAAGGGACTAGGGCGGGGATAACTCAGCCCTGGGGGGCAGTGGAGGAAGAGGATACTGAATCCTGAGGAAGCCAGCAATCCTATCTGGCGACTACTGTCCTTAGGCCCAGCAGACTCTCTCCCTTCCTCGTTCCTGCCCAGGAGGTCAAGCACCCCAGCAAGGCTTAGAGTGCAATGGAAGACAGAGTGCCAGCCTGAGGGGCCAGGGTGGGCACATGTGGATGGGTAGCTAGAGTGAGGACAGAGGGGAGTGGGTGACCTTTCCAGGGATACTGGGCATGCACAGGTGCCAGACTACCTCTGCCTGATTTTCAGGACTTCGAGAAGCAGGAGCAGCATCAATCTGCATCCCCAATACGCAGGACTCCAAATCTGACCTTCTTCAAGGTGAGGGCCTCCTGGCCTATCGGGTCTCTTCTTGGGACTTCCCTGCTGCCTGACCCAAGTAAGGCTCTGAGAGTGAGAGCTGGAGGACCCAAGGGCCCCACAGACAGCTTTACCCTTGAAGCAGAGGGTGCCTAGGCAGGGGATGAGTTAGAAGGACTTGATATCTGATAGCAGACACTTGCTTTTGAGACCTACCATCCATTCCCCTCCTCTGCTGCAGCCTAACACCTTTCCGGTCAAGCTGAACACAGCTACCATCCTTCGAGAAGGGGCCTTATACCAGCGGCAGGTGGAGAAGGAGCTGCAGAGGTGAGGGGCAGATGACATCTAATTCTTTCCCTTTCCCTTTCAAGGATATTGCCCTCAAGAGAAAAGCCTAGAGTAAGAGCCCGTCATCAGGCTGCTCAGCAGAGAGGAGGGGGAGGCTCTGAATTCGTTGAGGAAAATGCAAGCAAGGCCAGGGCGGGCCATGGTTGTCCACATATTAATCTTAGCTCTTGGAAGGCTGAGTTGAGAGGATAGAGAGTTCTAGGCCAGCTTGGGCTACAGAAAGACATTGTCTCAAAATCAACAAGCAAAACCCACTTCAGATTTTCCTAAGTTCTCAGCCACACATTTCTCTCCACATGTCAGCCAAGCTTACAGTGGACAGCAGCTTAGTACCCTCTGGAGACAGCACCAGACAGCATTCGTGGGTTTGGGGCTGTATCCTAAGACCTCTTCCCGAAGGTGCTGATTCCAGTTCCCAGCTGGCTTTCCCTGCGACTCTAGAATCTAAATCAGGTTTCAAGTCCTCTCCTGGGGTTTGATTAGTTTTCTAGAACAGCTCACAGAACTCAGGGGGCACTCTTATGTACATTTACTAGTTAGTTGTAAAAGATACTATGACTGATACTTGTGGAGAGGTGCGTACGTAGAGCCCATAGGAGAGCTGGTGGGGGTTTCCCTATCTACCAAGGTGCATACCTTCTAAGACTATCTGCTGAGCTGTCCAAGAGCTCACACGAATCTTGGCATTTGCTTTTCGTGGGGACCTCACAGGTAGGTGTGGTTAGCTACCACACTGGCCAAGGGGAATTAGCCTAACTGTTATTCCTCTGCCCTCCCAGAACCCAGCACTCGATCCTGGTTTTGTTTTGGTCTTTCTGGTGACCCGCCCCATCCAAGCTACCTAGGTGGGGCCAGCTAGCAGCCAAACAAGCAGCCAAAGACCAAGTCCAGATCTGACATCTTCACAGTCCACTCCCCATCTTTGAACACGAATCCCTCGCAGTTTGGAAAGGATATGTGACCCAGAAGATGTCTTATTACTGCTCTCCAGTTCTGTCCTGAAAGTCTCTCAGGACATTCAGGCTTCTGTTAGGTTCGTTCCAAAAGTAGGAGTGGTTCAGCTCACACTGCCTCTCCCTCCAGGGTGAGCTGTAACTGGGATAGGTCAGTACCGTTTCTTGCTCTGAGCCTCCCATGATAGTAAAATAGTATTGAATTTCCCTTATTCTGTAATACATCAGTTCATTCCTTCACCTACCTAGGCCGTGCCCTGCCACTAACACCCAAGCCTTTCTGTGGAATCTTGGAATCAGTCACTGTGCTAGTATAGACCACAGGCAGCAATTCCTGACTAGCAAGTGGCTCTTCCTTGGTCCATTCTCATTTATACAGAACAAGGAACTCCAAATTTTTCAGAGTAAGTGAACACACAACCCAATCCTACAGTTTATTCCAATGTTTTCACTCAACAACACCCTTTTCAAACCAAGACATAAGATTTCTCTTCACCAGCCTGTAAGCATGCTACAGCAATGGACACCATCTGGGTATCTTATAATTCAATTCTGCCGTGGCATCATCTACCTGGAGATGATGGTCAATGCCACAAGGTGGGGGCTGTGTCCTTAAGACTGTCCACCCCAAGATGCCAATTGTAATCATCAAATAGATTTTTTTGTTTGTTTGTTTTATTTTGTTCTTGCAATGCTGGAGATCAAATCCAGGGCCATGTGCATGCCAGGCAAGCATCCTATTAATCAATCAATCAATCTAATCAATCCTCTCAGGTCTCCGGGTAGTTTTAATTGTGCTTCTAAACAAGCATATGTAATTTTGGGGTTTCACAACCCCTTTCTTGTTTTGTTTTTAAGACTTATTGTTATTTTTTATCATTTATGTGTGCATCTCTGTGAGTGTATGGGCATGTGTGTGCTGGTGCTTGAGAAGGCCAAAAGAGGGCGTCAGATATCTTGGAGATAGAATTAATAAAATAAATGTGAGCTGCCCTTTGTGAGTACTGGGATGTGAACATCAATCCTCTTGATAGAACAGCACGTGCTCTTAAAAGCTAAACCATCTCACCCAGGTGGTGGTAGCGCATACTTTTAATCCCAGCACTCCAGAGGCAGAGGCAGGCAGATCTCTGTGAGTTCAAGGACAGCCTGGTCTATAGGACAGCCAGGGCTATACAGAGAAACCCTATCTTGAAAAAAAAAAAAACAAAACAAAAACAAACAAACAAACAAACAAAAACAGCACGAAAACATCTCTCTTGCATCCCTCCCGCATTTGATTAATTACCTACAGAAGCTCAATGACTTGAAGACAGGCTTAGTTGCATATACCAATTCATTGTGAAAAGTGTGACTAAGGGCACAGAGAAGAATTACACAGGACGGAGAGTAAGAAACCAGTCACAGAGCTTCACACTCCACTCAGATCCTCTACCTGCTCAGTTCTCCAGAAACTCATGTGAACCCTGACCTTTATGTGATATAGGGATTTGCCATGTGTGTGATTAATGAAATCACTGGTGTGTGTGATCACCTCCCCTCACGTCCAGTTTCCTGGGCAATGCTGACGGTGAAGCTGAAACTTCCAAACAGTGCTCCTGCCTTGGTCTTTCTGGTGACCAGCCCCATGCTGAAGGTGCCCAGAGACCACTAGTCTGAAATTACCTCATTGCATAAAAACACTTGGAAATTCTCAAGTATTTTAGGTGTCCAGTCATATGGCAAGAAATGAGGATGAAAACCAAATGCACTTCACAGCGTCATGACCAATCTCTGGTCCTGCTATGGTGGAGGGAAAGGCATGCAGGTCTGTGTCAGGCTCACGGCCACATTTCACAGTGATAATTTTAGCTCTGTGAGTGAGGAGACAGACCAGGGTGGGGAGAGACTTAGCAGACAGCTGGTCCCCTCCCTTGACCACCCTCAGGGTCACTTGCTCCTTAGAACTCCACCCATGAGGGTCCTTTCATGTCTACAAGTTGGGCTGTGGTGGGAACCTCAGGTGGCTGACTGGAAAGATGAGTATGTGAACAAGCGGGACAGGGTTGATAGGTGGACAGAGACGTGGACGAAGGAAGGGCGAGGAGATGGCTCATAGGTGGCTGGGTGGGTACACAGGAGAGGCAGGCAGATGTAGGTAGGTAGGGAGCATTGGCGGTGAATGTTCTTTGAGGTCGTCCCTGCCTGAGAGGACCGATGACCTCCTAGTGGTCCTGATCACATGAGGAAACCTAGCCGCACCTCTATCTCCCTTCCCCTAGAGTTGATAAGCTTGTGGATGGGGCTGGAGACTTCTCTGAGTTCCTCGAGTGGCAGAAGAAGATGCAGGCAAAGGACCTGGAGGAGCAGCTAGCTGCTTGCCAGTGCCGGCGACTGCAAGGAAAGCTGAGCCATGAGGAGGCCATCTTGGCCCGGCAGAACCTCATACAGGAAAACAAGCAGAAGGCTGACCAGAAGAAGGAGGAGGTGATGTACACAATGTCAGAGTGGCCAGGGTCACAGTGTGACTTCTGGGAGTCACGAGCTGTGGCCAGCAGAGAAATCAAGCACCTATTCTGTGGCTGACTACAGCCTGGCAGCCACTGTGACCCAGGGTCATCACCTAAGACCTACAGGGAGACATAGGTTCTTTGTCCCTCCGTCAACATTCAGGGGTCCATAAGAGTTTCACGTTAACTAAACTGAGTGGTATTCCTGCTTCTGCCCAGAGGCCACCCAGGTCTAGACTTTAGCTTTGTTTGTCCTTGGATGTGTCCCACTGAGAACCAGAGCTCCAAGGCTGCACTTGAGGTCATCACATTACTTCTTTGAGTAGATTCACTTGTGCAGTGTTTGGTGTTTGTTTTTAAGAACACAGAGATCCACCTACCTCTGCTGGGATTAAAGGCATGTGCCACCACCACCCAGCTTGTATTCAATTTTAGGATTTGCTTTTTCTTTCTTTTTTTTTTTTGGTTTTTTGAGACAGGGTTTCTCTGTGTAGCTTTGCGCCTTTTCCTGGAACTCACTTGGTAGCCCAGGCTGTTGCTTTTTCTTTCTTAATTTACTTTGTTTTGCTTTGTTTGGTACTATGAACTGAACTCAGGACTTTGTGCATGAGAAGTACATGCTCAGCCACCAAGTTAAACTCTCAGCAGAATATTTCTCTTTTCAAAGTTTTTAAATTACAAATTCCATTCCACTAGAGATGTAGCTCAGTAGAGTGCTTGACTACCATATGTTAAGTCCTAGGTTCAGTCCCTAGTACTGTATAGAAAAAAAAAAAAGTACAAATAAATTAAGAGAAAAAAAGACATTGCATTTAGTCAGATGTGGCGGTTCATACCTAGACTCATGCAGCACTTGTGAGGGTGAGACAGAAGGATTGACATGAGTCCAAGGGCAGTTTAGAGAGTAAGACTTTGTCTCCAAAAGAAAAAAAAGTTCTTTCATGCTTAGCATAAAACTTTTCAAAACAAATTCTTCATGTTGAGTTGTTGTGATAGTTTGTTTATTTTGAGAACTTGGTCCATTACACTAAGTTGTCAAATTTATAAATTTTTAATATTCTAACATCTTTAAAAAAAAAATTCCTACTGCTGTGTATGGTGGCACATGCCTTTAGTCCCAGCACTCAGGAGGCAGAGGCAGGTAGATATCTGTGAGTTCAAGGCCAGCCTGGTCTACAGAGTGAGTTCCAGGCCAGCCAGGGATACATATTAAGACCCCTGTCTGTATTAGTCAGGGTTCTCTGGAGGAACAGAACTGATAGAATTATTATGGAACTCACTCTGTAGACCAGACTGACCTCAAACTCACAGAGATCCGCCTGCCTCTGCCTCCCAATTGCTGGGATTAAATTATGTGCCACCACTACCCAGCATTTTTTATTGTTGTTGTTGATTTGTATATGTATGTTTGGGGTGTGTGTGTGTGTGTGTGTGTGTGTGTGTGTGTGTCTGTGTGTGTGTGTCTGTGTGAGGCCAGGGTTCTAGTTACATTTCCATTCATACCTTCTTGACTGTGAATAGAGAGCAGTTCAGTTGGAGCTAATATTGGGAAAAAGCAGTTTGGGGAAGGAAGCAGGACCTAGTTCCCTCCCACCTGGGCTTTTCCATGGGTGCAATGGAAGGGGTTGGGCCATGGTGACTAGTGAAGTCATCGTCCCTCAGCAGTCACTTCCACCTTCCCAGCAGCTGGCTTTACTGTCCCATCTCCTATATCACCACATGTGGCAAGTGACTCAAGAAAGGTTTGTCATTGAGGAACTGAATCAAGAGCGGCTGCTGTGTCTGACTGTCTGGGTACTGAGTCGAGAGTGGATGCTGTGTCTGTGTCTTTCTGGCCACCGACAGGCTCTCACAGCCTCTCCAGGTTTGGTTACAACCTAACAAGGTCTCTCTGATACCCAAAGGTCTCGTGACTTAGTGGCCACAGGTAGAACCCAAGGAGGAGAGTGCCATGTGAGGGTGACAGCCAGCCAAACCTGAAGATTGTTAGTGAACCTTGAGCCTTGTCAACACAGCTATCCTCACAGGCAGGCCAGTTCTGGGCATCCCAGACCCAGAACTGTGTCTTTCAATGTCTGTGGGTAAATGTACTGCTCGCCAACCTATGTATACCCTGTTGGTTCTGAGCATGCCTAGCACACACATTCATGTGGTTAAAACCTTTGCCTAATGATAGCCACATTAGATGACACTGAATACGTTAAAATAAATTTCAGTTTAATTTTTCTTGTGCACTGTGCTCAGATGCTTTCTTACAGTCCCAGCATGTGCCAATCAACTACAGCTTTTTTTTTCTGTGTAAAGTCCCTTCACTCCCACTGGCCATAGTACCTTTGGCTCATCCTCTGATCTGTTTGCATTGCTCCACAGCCTTCAGAAGCCTCCTTTATATTTAGAGATAAGATCCTTGGGCCTACTGTGGTTTTCTGTGCTTCAGACCTAGTTATTAGCTGGGTGTCGAAATGCATACCTGCAGCCTCACAGGAGGCTGAGGCAGGAAGGTTGGGATTTTGAAGTCAGCCTGGGCTACACAGGGAGAAACTGACTTTAAAAAAAATGACCTATGTTTCAACAAGCCCCTATGTTTCACCATGGAGACCAATATTAAGTTCTAGCTCTGGTTTCTTCCACAGTGAAAAAAGATGTATTTAAAATCATGGGTGTAACAGTGATCTTTTAAGTGTGTGTGTGTGTGTGTGTGTGTGTGTGTGTGTGTGTGTGTGTGTGTGTGGCCAGATGGCCAGATGGATGGATGGATGGATTTGTCCATACTGGTCTTTGAATCTAGGGCCCTGTGCAGGATAGGTGAATGCTTTATTCTAAGCTGTATCTCCAGCAACAGTGGTATTTTCAATTTCTTTCTAACACTGACTTGATTACTGGTTATATTTTCTGCTCTTAACTAAATTTATCCCCCTTTTAAAATAATTTGGTGAATCATGCAAATAATAAGCTAAACCGAATAAAACTCGCTTTTTAACTCCGCACCCTCCAGTCACAGTAGGATCAATGCAGGGTAGCCCTACCGGTCTCAACACTAAACCCACTAGTGAGAAACATTTCACATGCCGGTTGCCATGGGGACCATTCTTTGAGTACATCTTTACCGAAGTCCTCACTCAGTCTGATGTAGATTGGCAGCTCTTGCAGGGCTCTGCTACTTGGTCCCAGTCACACAAAGGCTATCTAGCATGTTTTGTGGGCTTTTTTTTAATATTATTATTATGGTAGTGTAGGGAATTAAGCCCAGGGCACCCCCATACACATGGGACAAGAACTTCATCACTGAGCTGTACTCCAGCTCTGGGTTAGTTTTGAAGTTCTCCCACTCAGGGGACCCAAAGCTCCTACTTGGTGCCACCTAGAAGAACAGCCCTTATTTGGGTGCTGTCTTGTGGAAAGGATAAGATCTGCGGTAGAACTCAAGAGCTGGACCAAGGATGAATTCCTTGCCTCTTGCCCACAGGCAGAACACAGGTCTGGGGTTTCCATCCCAGGAAACAGCCAGGGGTTTGCCTCTAGACTCAGCCAGATATCTGCTCTGCCGCTCACTTCCCTGGTGATGCCAGTCTTTCTGTGGAGTTGGCACATACATCTCACCAAACCCCCGTGCCTGCCTGCCACCCCCAGCCTTAGCACCTCCTCTTCCTCCACTCATTCCCTTTTTCTTTTGGGGAGGGGAGGTTGGGTTTTTGAGACAGGGTTTCTCTGTGTTGCTCTGGCTACTCAAACTCACTCTGTAGACCAGGCTGGCCTCGAACTCACAGAGATCCTCCTGCCTCTGCCTCCCAAGTGCTGGAATTAAAGGCGTGTGCTACCACCACCCAGCTCACCCATTCCCTTTTCTTTGCTGACCTCCAATACTGTGCGGATGCCTACACTGTCACTGAGGGTAGCCAACCCCCTTTTCTGAGCCCTTGCCATGCTGTTTGTTGTGCCCAGTGCAACTGACCAAGTGGCATAGCAGGGGAAATGAAACAACAACAACAACAATAAAAAAAAAAATTTTTTTTTTTTTTTTGGTTTTTTGAGAAAAAAAGTTCAGCCGGGTGGTGGTGGTGGTGGTGGTGGTGGTGGTGGTGGTGGTGGTGGTGGTGGTGGTCGTCGTCGTCGTCGTCGTCGTCGTCGTCGTCGTCATCGTCATCGTCGTGGCGTACACCTTTAATCCCAGCACTCGGGAGGCAGAGCCAGGTGGATCTCTGTGAGTTCGAGGCCAGCCTGGTCTCCAGAGCGAGATCCAGGACAGGCACCAAAGCTACACAGAGAAACCCTGTCTCGAAAAACAAAACAAACAAACAAGCAAAAAGTCCAATGAAAGTGATTAGGGAGGCACAGATGTTGCCCTACGGCGCATGGCAAATCTATGATCTGTTGTTAGAGTCCCAGGCCAGGGAGGCTTGCCTCAGAGAGTTGCACCAGACTGTTTAAATATCAGATCTGTCCTTTGGAATCCAAGGTGAACGTAGGCAAGATGGAGTTGATCTGCTCAGTTCTAGAGCCACAACTAGAGGCTTCTTTCTCAGTCGCTGTGCCCATGGTCTACATGTTGTAAAAGCCGGTGGTTGTTCCTGGGGAGGTGGCCCAGTGGTTAAGAACACTGAGGACCTATGTTTGATTCCCAGCACAGCACGACGGCTTATAACCACCTGAAACTCCAGTTACAGGGGACCTTGACAACCTTTTCTGGCCTCCTTGGGCATTGCATGCATGCAGTATACATGCTGGCAAAACACCCATACACATAAAAAAAAACTGAAAACAAAAAAACTGATGGTTGATAGGTTGTTGATTATGATGTCCTTGTAAATCTAGAAGCCATTGTTGTTGTCTTCATGTATCCATCATTGGGGGTGTGGGGCAATTAACAGCCCTAAAAAACTAATATGCCCAAGTGCCAAATGGAGCAAAAATGAGATCCAGAATTTGAGGGTAAAAAAGACAGACACAAAATGAAGGCAAAGCTGCCATGTTTTTTTCCTGCCTTTAGCTGTCAGACATCTGCAGCCCATGTGAAGTCAGTGCATTTAGCAAAAGCAACCTCTGAGTTCTTATTCGCATGGCTTGTTCCCAAGATGGTACCTTTTCTGCAGAGCTGTGTCTTTCAGATTCTCTGTGGTAAGGGTTGCTGCCTGACCATGAGTTGGCTTTGCCTTATTTCCAGCAGGAAGCTCTCAGCTGTGTACTGACCATGGGCCTGGCCCTCTATCTCTTGGTCCCAGATGATGCAAACCAGGCCTGGGATCCCTGTAACTCTGCTTAGGGCAGAGGCTCACGGTGCAGGAACAGGCATCTTTCTTTGTTTTTTTCTTGCTTACTTACTTGAGACAGGCATGGTCGCTGGTACACCCCTGTCACTTAGCACTCAGGAGGCAGAGGCAGGTGGATCTCTGAGTTTGAGGCCAGCCTGGTCTCAAGTTCCAGGACAGCCAGGGCTACACAGAGAAACCCTGTCTTGAAAAAAAAAATAATTAAAAACAAGTTTGGAAGCCTGGCATGTGAACAAATGCCTATAATCCCAGCACTCAGGAGGAAAGGGCAGGACGTTTGTGAGTTTGATGTCAGCCTGGGCTACACAGTGAGTTTGAGGCAAGCTTGGGCTACCAAAAAAAAAAAAAAATGGAGTGTGTTGGGACACATCTTTAATTTTAACACTCCAATGCAGAACTAGGAAGATCAGGAGTTCAAGGTCATCCCGTGTGACATAGCAAGTTCCAGACCAGCCTAGGCTATATGAGACTCTGTCTCAAAACAAAACACTGCCCCCACAACTGCCACCCCCTCCCAACTTCTTTTGGTTCTGGAAATCAAATCCAGGCACTTGCTTTTTTTTTTTTTTTTTGCCTCTGCCTCCTACGTGCTGGGATTAAAGGCATGTGCCACCACCTCCCAGCAGGCATTTGCACATCTTAACCACATGTGCTTCTTACTGTCCCCTCCCCACCAGTTTCCTCCATTGTGAGCATCTTCCTTCATCAGGTTCTAAGCTGCTACAACAAAATACTGGAAACTCAACCCCAGGACATCCCTGGGAAGAAGGAAGGAGGACACGAGGTGGAACGTCCCCAGTAGGCTCAACTTGAGAGGGACTAGGTTTTTCAGGAACTGATGGCCCTGGGATGGACCCAGGCCAGGGATGGCTGCGTGCCCCACAAACTTCTGATGTAGGCTGGGACAGGATTAAAGGGGGACCCAGCCCACCTCAGTTCTCAGTGTTTTGGGTCCTCTGTCTGAGCAGACAGCTGAGCTAATGCTGCAGTGTGCTGAGAGGCGCCTCCAAGAGGAGAAGGCCATGAAAGAGCTGGTGGGGCAGATCATTGAAGCCCAGAAGAATGTCAAGGTGGCCCAGATGAAGCTTGTGAAGGGCCGGCAGCAGATAGGTACCGAAGGGAGTCAGGTGCCCTGAGGCCTGCCCCATTCCCTTTCATCCTTTTCAATTAAACAAGCTACTGTGGTCAGTGAGGGATGGTGCCCCTGGAGGGTGGGCTAGGACTGAGCAGAGGCCAAGGTCTGAAGAAGACACTCCCGGGGGACACAGCCCCTACTCATTGCCTGCCAGACCATTCACTGCCCTCATCAGCACCCCCACTTGGTTCCCAAGTTCAGGAGGTGATAGAAGAGAGCCGGGAGCTGCTGCAGCGTAGCACGGAGGCAGCCAAAGAGGAGCAGAGACGGCGCTGTGAGCTTACTGCCCAGCTGCGAGCACTGGAGACACAGCCCACACGCAAGGGCAAGCTGGTGGACCTGACCCAGGTGAGACTGTGGCCCCTGGAAGCTTCAACGTCAGGGTACCTCCTTGTGTGGTACAGCATGTACCGAATTCTCCTCAAGGTCAGTCTTGTCCTATCCACAATCCTCTCGTTACTTGGGTACCACCAGCTGCGGATAGATTCAGCTCAAGGTATGTGCTACAGCAAGACAGTGAGTTTCTCCTGTGACCTTTCCACTAACCTTGATATGGTACCAACCACAGACCAAAGAAACAATTCCACCCTAGTCTAAACTAGTGAGCCAGTGATTTTATTGAGGCTACATATAGGAGCATGGGGGAGGGCTACTTACGGAGGCATAGATGACTCAAAGGTGAGCTTACCAAAAAAGTTCACCCCGGTTGCAAGGGACACCTCAGAAAAGCTGTGCCTCAGGAGATCCCTGCACAATTTGCAGGCAGCTCAGCCTGCTGTTGTGTGAGACCCTTTTCCTGAGTAGATGCAACACACATCTACTTACCATAGTCAGGGAACCCAGGACAGACCAAAGTAACAGTTGGACCAAAGTCCAGCTCGGTAAACCAGTGGATTTTTACTGGGGCCCCAACAGCAGTGTGAGCAAGGTTAACTTACAGGTCCAGGATGGCTCAGAAGCAGTTGCGTCAGTGAAAAGCCTACCCCAACACAGACGACAGCTCATGGAAACTGGATCCCAAGAGCTCTCTGCACAATTTGCGGGCAGCTTGACAGGCCTTAGAATCTCCTCGGACAGCCCTACTGGTCAGAGTCTCTTCCCCAGTGGTTGTCTACTCATTTTATAAAGCTGGGAGAGGACCTTGAGTCTCCTGAGCCTTAACCCCCACCCACCCTCCTAGACTGGATGATTGCCTTTGGAGGAAATTGCTATTCAGCACTTGCACGCGAGTTTTCTCTTTCCAACAACTGTCATTGCTATACAATCATGGCCACCAAGGCCTTGTGAATCCTGTAACTTTCCGAGCTTTCTGAGCCTTGTAAGTTTCCTTTGTCTCCTGAGTTCTAGGAGCCTCCCTCTTATCTGCAGGATAGCTGCAGGATATGGAATGTTTTTATTTGGAGGAAAAAGCTACCCATCAGAGCAGAATCTCTGATGGGGAGAGAGCTAAACTGCATGAAAATAGCCATTTGGGGAGCTGCATGTTGAAGAGTGAGGTCCCTGGACTCTCCAGACCCAAGACAGAAAGGGGAGTAAGGAGCACCCAAGTGTGTAAAAATCCAGAGCCAGAGAAAGCCAAGGCCTAAGGGGGAGGGGGGAAGTAGCCTGTATGAGAAAGCAGAGGAGAGCCAGGTTCACAGGGGCAAGGGGGCAGGACTGGGAAAGTTTTGCACTTGACTGCTAGGTCTCACCTAGCCCCAGGGTGAGGGGCATCCAGCTGAGAAGTTCAGCTTCACTGTAGGGTTCCAGGCTGGAGCTGCTGATGGGGGTTACACAGGCAGACTGAAGCAGAGGAAAGGTCTTCTTGGTTGAGGGGCGACTGGCTTTACAGCTGCAAGCTTAAGGTCTTCCCTTGTTCTTTGGAAGATCCCAGGATATGGTCTGGAAGGCGAGATGTCTGTTGTGGAACTTCGAGAAAGGCTGGCCCTGCTCAAAGAGACCCAGAAACGAGAGCAGGAGGAAAAGCGTGATCAAATCATTCAGGGCAAGCGAGTCAAAAGTCAAAAGCTACAGAACACAATGGAGCAAATCTCACTGTGCCGCACAGCCATGGGCAGAACCGCAGCCTTGAGGTGAGTACCGTGCTTCCGAGGAAGTCACCTCCATGTGTGGAAGGAGCACAAACCTGCTCTGCACCTTCCTCCGTGGGTACCCTTGCCACACCAGCAGCTCCTGCCAGGCTATCCTCTACAGTAATTCTGACCATTTTTAGTTCGTGGGAGAATTATCAGTTCTGTGGCAATGGCTGCGATGCCCATGACACACACCATGCAATGCACCAATGTCCCGAGGACCTTTGTGCCATATGTGCTTCCCCCAGCTAGCTAGCTGTTTATCAGTCTTCAAAGCCATTTAGGAATAGTTGCAGACAACATATACTTCACTCCTGAGCATTGTAGTGTGTATTTTCTTTAATAAAAAAATGCTGCCCTACCTAAACCACACCGCCATGACACAACTAGCAAAAGTCACCAAAATTCTCAACATCACTTAAATGTCTGTCTGCATCCACACTTCTCCAAGTGTCTCAGGACTGCTAAGACTTTTTAAACTCTTTGTAAGCCAGTAGCTAGGTCACACATAGTTGTGTGTGCATATATGCACACACCTTTTATTTGTTTGAGAACATCTTTATCCAGGTCAGTGTCCAGTGACAGTCAGGTTGGTCACGTGGTCACAACTGCCCCGAGGGAGGTGGTAACTAGGCCTATTACAATGGAACACCCTGGTCTCTAGAGAAAATACCTTCATGTGACTTGGGGGAGGGGTGGACAGAGGAAAGACCCGAATTCATTGCCAGTGGAAGAGAATACATCACTCTTGGTCATCTGAGCAACTGCTGCCCTGACTGCAATTCAGAGGAAAGGACTAGCTGGCCACAGTTACAGAGTGACACACACCTCAGGAAACCCATCACTTCCCAGCTGCTGGCCCTCTCCTCTCAGACCCCAAATGTACCAGTTGATGTTGGAGTGCCTCTCAAGATTCAACTCTGGTAACAATGTTCTTGGACCCCACCCCCATTCCTGCAGTCAGCCTCTATTGCAGGAATTTAGTGAGAGAATTTTTGTAGGGGAACAGGGCCAGGACAGTTGGGTAAGGAGCATGTGTTCATGCCCCATGCTGTGACGTATATACTCTAATCAAAGCTGCAGGCAGCAAGACCTGCAACTGGACAGAGAAAGGGGCCCATATTAAGAAGGGGATGTGCAGAAATGCTGTCACCTGGGGACCATGAGAATGCCAAAGGCAGTGTGAGGCAAAAGGAGTTTTCGAATTTTCACACCAATTCTGTGTTAGAATGCATTTTTTTTTTTAACTTAAAAAGATTAAAAGGGTAAGGGTGCTGGCAGGATCCAACGAAAACCCTCCTGGGTGTCGCCCAGCCAGCTCCTAAGCCAGTGCTGTCGCGGTCCAGGTGGGAGAAAAAGAAGGCTCAGGCTGGAAGTCCGGGGACACCCTCCCAGGACGAGCGTGTGTTGGAGCTGCAGCGCAGAATGGAGGAGAGGGTAGCTGAGCGCCGTAGGCAGACAGCGAAGCTGCAGGTGTCACCGCCCCGGACCGTGCGCCCCCAGCTGCGGGTGAGCTAGGAGGGAAGAGAGGGCAACCTTTTGGGTCTGAGAGGTAGGGGACAGTTAGGGCATGAGGAAGTTAATGTCTGAGCGCCTGGGTGTGGGACCCAACGCCTCCTCAACCGCCCGCTTGCAGGCTCAGGCGGAGGTGCAGCACTGGCTGGAGCTGGACCAGAGTCGCGAACGCAGGCTGCGGGCAAGGCAAGAGGCTGACCGCACCTGCAAGCCTACCCGTCACCTGGAGGCCGCCTGATCAGCCCGGCGGCCATGCGCAAACACCGCGCTCGGCCGCTGACCTTGGCCCCCGCTCCTGCCCCTCCAAGAGCAGCTCTTTTCCTGCACTCCAGCCACAAAGCCCTGCCTCTCCCCAGCTCCAGCCTTCTCCTGTATGGTTGCCCCAGAAAAGATGGTGCAGTGGCGCAGGAGAAACGCTAAACAGCTACTCTTGCTCTGGACTGCAACTGGCTACCTACGTTTTTATGTGCTAAATCTAGCCCTTCCCTATGCCCAGCAAGGCTTTTCGTATGGCTGGAAGCCCCACTCTCCAACCGAAGCCAGTAGATATATGCCTGAGAACCCTACAGCAGCATGAGATTGCGAATGAGGTCCGATTCTTGAACACCTGCTATAGACTGGTCCTTGTCATGCCCCATGTGGCTCATCTGAGCGAGCGATCGCTGCACACAGCAACTATTGCCCAGTCCTGTTCTGCTAATGAGGTCACCTGTGTCAAAGAGGTGACCCTGGTCTGAAAGCCAGGGCTCAGAGCTACCTGCAGGTGCCTTTCAGGGCCCTCTCTCCAGCATCATCAAGAGCTTGAATCCAACAAAATCGGAGCCCTTGGGGACTCCCCCTCAACAGGGCAAGTAGCAGGCAGATCAGAGGTGTTCTCAATTTCTGGCCTTCATGCTGCTCTGTACTGGGGAAAGCTGGACTTTAATAATAGATGTGTGAATGAATGCCTGCGGGTAAAAGTTAGCCTGAAGAATAAAGCTGTATTGTGATGTTTAGTTCATAGGAAGATGGTGGCAAGTCATGGGGAGGGAATAAGCAAGGAGAAACTGCTAGATGGGTAGATGTATCAAGAGAGAGACACTACCCCCTGGCCATCCTCCTCAGGCCTGCAGAGAAGATGGGCACCTCAGGTGGTGAGGCTGTACCCCAGGGTGCCTTCAGACCAAGAAAGTCTCTTAGCATTGACTGGAGTCCTAGGTCAGTATTGAGAACTAACAGAATTCCAAGGCTCTTTACAATCCTGGGTTGGGGGTTGGGGGAGAAAGGAATTCCCATCTCCCTGTTGAATTAGAATTGGGGGCAGATTCAATTTTACTTAAATAAAAATCACGTTTCTGACAGGTTTTGTGTGATTCAAACTCATTTAAAACGGAGGGACTGTGCTCGTGATTTCCAGCCAGCCAAAGGCAGAGTGGATTTAGGATGTGCTGGACATGGGTGCTCTGTCTCCAGGATGCTTAACAGTTCCAGTCTGGACAACAGGGAGATGTCCATTGTCACTGTTCTAGGTTGAAACTGCTCTTGTCGGTCTAGCTCCTGCAGGGGAGCAAGTGTGCATGGCCTGAAGCAAACACCGCGGCAAGGCAGTAGGGATGACCTTTGACTTTAGGCTAGCTTCAGGACAGCCCAGCAAACTGGGCGCTACTGGCAATAGTGCTGCCTGGCAGTGAGCAAGCTCCCTCTTCCTTGTCTGGTCTTTCTGGGGTGAGTAGCTGCTCAGAGACAGCTCAGGAGCACCTGGGTGTTTGCTCCATAAGCCTGAGCCAGAGAGCAGGCTTGAGAGTATTTCTTAGTGATGTGGCAAGTGGATGCTGTATGTGGTAAAACTATGGCCAAATGTTGTTCTACATCAATACCCATTGTCTTGCAGCTTTCTATCTCTGGTCTTGCTGGGCCTGGTAACTTACTCTCCTGTAATCTCAGCACTTTGGAGGTAGAGGCAGGGAACAATGAAGAGCTGAGACCAGCATGGGCGATGTAGTAGGTAGCAGGCCAGTCTGGCTACACAGCAATACCCGCGCTAAAAGGAGTAGAGAGGCAGCAAGATGGCTCGGTCGGTTAAGGAGCTGGCTGTGCAACCCTGGCAACCTCAGATCAAATCTCGGGAACCGTGTGAAGGTGGAAGGAGAGGAACAACTCCCCAGAGTTTTCCTATGATTGTCTACACGTGCTGCATGGCACATGTGACCTCTCCTGACTTACACACCCCCATCAAGAGAAAGCACAAACCAGGTAGCTTATGAAAGGGAAAGTATCGGCTCAGAACCCCCCAAGACCAAGTTCCCAGCACAAAGGAGATTTATTTGCCCCAAGGGACAGAGGGCAGGGATAAGAGACAAAGACAGGAGACAGAGGATAAGGAAGAAGTGGAAGGGAACAGGGGCATTCGTCCCAGGGGGGAGGACAAAGGACTGTCTGGATAGAGAGGAGACAGATGTGACACACAGGAAAATGGCAGTTTATAAAGGTACAAGGGGAAACCTTGCATTAGGAAGAGGTTTAATTTTAACTCGGTTAACTAGGTAAGCCACAGGGGGCTTTTGATTGCTGGACTTCAATACTTTGATAGCTGGACCTCAGTAGTCAGCCTCAGGAGGAGGAAGTGGCCAAATAAGGGAATAGACTTTGGTGGCCAGCTTTAGGAATGCAATCTAATGGTTTTTATCAAGGCAGAGGGAATGGGGAGAAGGGCAAGGCCTGCCAGAGCCATGCTCACCACGCTCAAGCTGGCCAGAGTGCCTTCAGTTTATCCCCTCAGCATCTGAACCATGCCTGGCCTCATAACTTTCTTTGTCCAGTACCTACAGAAGTGGCAGTGTGCCAGCTTAAGAGTCAGTCATCAAGTGGCCTCATGTGAACATGATCAGGGTGGCCTGCTGAGATGACTCCACGTAGAGGAGTGCCAGTTGTCCCTGACAGGCAATCCTAGAGCATCCTGCAACCAATAGATTGCAGCAGTAGTGACAGCCAGAGCAGCACCTTGCTCCTCTTATGACTTATAAATAACAATAAACACAGCCTGTTTAAGGTATGCAGATTTGAGATATTTGGGATAATTTGTTCAAAAGTAAAACCTAAATGATGCACTTTCCAGCCAGGGCCTTCATATTGGAGACCCCTGCCTTCCATTCCCTATATGGATCTTTTAACAAAGGTGGCTGGCCAGCCAGAGATCTAGCTATGGCCCACAAGGTGCCATGAATGCTCTTTCTGGACCTTTCTTGATGACAACTCTTCTGGAGATGACCTGCCTACATGCAGAAGAATTTTTTTTTTGGGGGGGGGCAGGTTTTCGAGACAGGGTTTCTCTGTGTAGCTTTGCGCCTTTCCTGGAACTCACTCTGTAGCCCAGGCTGGCCTCGAACTCACAGAGATCCGCCTGGCTCTGCCTCCCAAATGCTGGAATTAAAGGTGTGTGCCACCACCACCCGGCTCAGAAGATTCTTCCTAACAGGGCAAGGACAGATAAGTCATTCTGAAGCTGGTGTGAGGCCTAAGGAAATCATATTCTCCTGGTTCCCATGTGTGAACCTATTGGAGCACTGATATGTCGGTTTTTCTCTCCAAGTTGATGTTTAAAGCAGTATTTGTGAGGCAGGAAGTTCACTGACAAACGGTGTTCGGTGTTCCAAGAAAACTTGAGGGAAATTTCTGAGCATGAAAGTGCTGTTTGTGGTTGACTTTTACTACTACATCTTCAGCATATTAAATTTACAAAAAGCCAGGTATAGTGGCACACACTGTAATCTCAACATTTGGGTGGGTAAATTTTAATCTAGCCTGTGCTACATAGTGAGTTTCATGTCAGCATGAACTAGAGAGAGAGAGACTCTGTCTCAAAACCAAACAAGAGGCTGGCAGATGACCCAAGAGGTAGAGGTGCTTGCCACTAAGCCTGGTGACTTGAGTTTGATCCTTAGGGTCCTTTCACACAGTGAAAGGAGAGAACTGGCTCACACAACTTGTCCTCTGACTGCCACATGTACACACACAATAAATAAATATGATAAAACTTAAAAAATAAATAAAGCCAGATGATGTGGCAAATACCTTTAATCCCAGCACTCAGGAGGCAGAGGCAAGTGGATCTCTGAGTTCGAGGCCAGCCTGGTCTACAGAGTGAGTTCCAGGACAGCCAGGGCTACACAGAGAAACCCTGTCTTGAAAAACCAAAAAAAAAAAAAAGTTTGTTCTGTGCAGGTTAAGGTTTCTGTTTGTAGTTAAAGAATAATTTCCTGTTTGTTCTTTGTTAAATCCTGGTGAGCTAAAGTTTCTATTTGTAATTAAGAATAAGTTCCTGCTGGGCGGTGGTGGCACACACCTTTAATTCCAGCACTCGAGAGGCAGAGCCAGGCGGATCTCTGTGAGTTCGAGGCCAGCCTGGGCTACAGAGTGAGTTCCAGGAAAGGCGCAAAGCTACACAGAGAAATCCTGTCTCAAAAAACCAAACCAAACCAAAACAAAAAAAAAAAAAGAATAAGTTCCTGTTTCTTAGATCTGATGTAAACTGCTTACAAGCCCCATTCACGTGATGTATATCCTTACCCCTGTTCCTTCCTCTTCATTGTATCTTTCTCTGGTGGTGTCCCTCCCTAGGACATGAGAGATGCTTACTTGCTGCAGCTTGTAAGCCCAGCCCCTTGCTGCTTACTACATAGGCTAGCTAGGGTGATGCTGAAGAGCTCTAACCCTGGTGTTGAGGATGAGGGAGAGCTGAGGGGGCTGACCAACCCAGCAACCATCCAGACCCAGAACCAGGGCTATGAGTTGGCCCATCCCATCATCTGCCTCATCTATGATCTGTGGGAGCACGTGAAGGGGCCGGTCCTGCTGACCCAAAGTTGCAGGATCTCCATGACACAGGACAACAGATATCCAAGAGGAGATCCAGTGACAGCCCAGTTTCTACGATATAGCAAAAACCAGACCAATAACTCATTGCAATGAACACTTGCAAGTAATGATATAAGGACTAAAGGGTGTACTGAGACTCACTGTGTGACTTCAGCTTCCACGACAAGATTTTTCTTTCTTTTTTTTCCCCCTTTTTTAAATTTGTTTTATCCTGGGAGGTGGGGGAGGTTGCAAGGGTAGAAAGAGGGAAGATGGGAAGGAGCAGGGAAATGAGGGGGATCGAGATGCATGATGTGAAATCCACAAAGAATCAATTTAAAAAAAAGCTAAATTGGAAAACAGCAACAACAAATAGAAACCTTAACTTGCAAGGACTTAACATAGGACAAGTAGGAACTTTTTTTTTTTTTTTTTTTGGTTTTTTGAGACAGGGTTTCTCTGCATAGCTTTGGCTGTCCTGGAACTCACTCTGTAGACCAGGCTGGCTTCAAACTCACAGAGATCCGTTTGCTTCTGCCTCCCGAGTAACGGGATTAAAGGTGTGTGCCACCACCAATGGGCAGGAACGTATTCTTAACTATCTTATGCAAACACCCCTTAACCTACAGGGTCTGTTGTTCCTGTTTTGATCTCCCATGCCTTAAGTATTCAAAATTAGAAATGCCTACATTTCTCTTAAACTTGTAAATTCACTTTATTCCAGTTATAACAGTTGGAAAAATATGCTCAAAACAATCCAAACACACATTTTACACTGGAGTCAGATGTATGTCTGACAGACATAAACTCCCTTGTAATTACATAAAATGTCAGATTGTAATAGCACAAACATTAACCTTCGGTTTTGATCTGCGATCTGCTTTGTCATTCTCATATGTGAATCAACCTTCCAGGTTGATTACACCTTACAGAAGCAACTCAACTACATTTAAGACAATCTTCATATAGCCTGAGGGTCTCCACCCATCTGTTTTCTAGTTGCTATTTATCCATCCATCCATCCATCCATCGATCCGTTTTCTAGTTGCTAAACCCGTGTAAGCTCAGGGACAGGTGCTCAAGAAAAACAGCATTGTTTTTCTAGTACCATTCTGTTTTGCGGCACTCCAGGAGGGCCTAGTCTGCACTTGTATTATCTGTTAGCCCTCACATTCTTTCTCAGAAGTAGGTAAAATGGATCCCTGGTACCAGGTATGAACGTGCTGAGACTTGCCTAAAATCATGGTGCTGGTTTTCAGAATCAGGTAGAAGGGACTCTGTAACATGAGATGTCCCAAGACCCAAGAATTCCAGACCCTGGCCTTTCCCGAGGCCGGTTCTTCTCAGGCCTTTCTTCTGTAGGACAGTACAGTCCCAGTGAGTACTTGACATTTGTGTTCTCTGCCGAGTTCTGCCTTCCTCACCCCTCGCCTCTGCTCCTGACACACTGGGCAGCTAGCCTGCAGTTTCCTGGGCACGCACATCTCTCCTTTCCCCCAGCTTTGGT